AGTTAGGCGTATTCCTAAAATTTAGCGGCATAATCGGTATATAACCCCTTCTAAGTTAAGTGTTAGATAACCCTAACTGCGGTAGCAACCTCGTTAGAAGATCTAAAGACCTTCTTTATCGTACGCTTAAGATTTTCGTAGCTTGCGAAGATTCTATCCGAATTGTCGGTCCCGTTACTATCTAGATAGGTCCTAAGAAATGGTTTAACCTAATGCTAAGCCCTACCTCGCATAAACGTCGTTACGAAGACTAGCTTTAAGTTATCTTAAACCTAGTTAAATATGAAATATATATCTATCTAGCTAACCTAGGTATCGAACTTGTCTCGGTCGCCGTAATAAAAGTCTAGCTTTCCGATCTTAAGAGAATCGTTTCCGGTATAGGTTCCGAGTGCGTTGCTAGCACTAGAGGTAGTACGTCGAGTACTGCCTGTCTCGCTAGGGGCGGGAGTTCCCCTTCCGACTTATAATAAGGTACTTATCCTAAGGGCGTTCAAAGTATTACAGTTACTCGCGACAGATCGTTAGGTAACTTCTTATTACGTATAAGCCGAGGCTTCTTTAGAGAGGCTAATATAAGCGGGAGGCAGAGATAGAATAATTGGTACAAAGGTAATTCCAATTAGTAAGTAGGTAATATAAGTTAAACGCCTCGAGCTATAAGGGCATTCCGGCGTTCCTAAATATAAAGGAGACATCTTGTCTATAGTCGCGAGCGACGTAAGCGACGCTGTCGCTCTCGACCGCTCCTATCGCTCCTAGTAAGATAGAGCGACAGCTCAGCCTACTAGTCTTAGCGTCGCTCTAAGATTATGTAAGGACTCTAACTAATTAGATCCGTAACACCCGCCCCCGTTTATATAACGCGACTTTGAACACTAGTTTCTATAGCAACAATATATACTATTTCCGCCTAATACTATTCCGTTTAACGAGCAACTATACTAACAAGAAGTATATCTTCTACGTACCTAAGAAGTATTTAATAATCTGTCTATATAGGACGATAGCTTGCGGTTTAGCTAGTAGCTTAACTCTTTATATAATAAGGATAGCAATAACGACGACGATAAAGAGAATAGATTACTAGGCGAAGAGACAAGTAACGACGAGCCTATAATATATATACGGTCGAAAGAAGCGGTAGAACTAGTATATTCTAACTTAGAGAGGACCTCCTAAATGCTACCTCCCTCTACTATTTCCGAGCCTTCTATTCGTAGGAAGACAGTTCCGCCGAGGCTAGTAATCGTACTAAAACTAGCGTCTCGTAGAACTAGTATGCCCGCTAAGGGGGGTTAGTATTATATAAGATAGAGTATTAAGAAGGACTAGCCGCCTACGGAGGCGCCGAAGGTACTAGCTGCGGGCGTAAAGCTAGCTTCTTCGCGTAAGCGGAAATCGACTAAGGGCAAAACACTACGAAACAAGACCCGCAAAACATTATCTAAACGGTAGAATAATAGCGCCGACTTGTCTAATAAACCTCCTGCTAAGCTATTGTCGACACTTAATAGCGTTATTAAGAAATTGCACTTAGAAGCTAGCTCGCGACGCCGACCGACTTTACGTATGCCTAAAGCTATACTAACGTCGAAGCTACAAGCGAATAAGAAGCCCTTTAGCGCAGATCTTATATAGATCGTTTAGTATCGATTATACGGCAAATAGCACAATATTATAACTATAAATAATGTGCTAGAAGATGATAACATAGACTTTGCCTACTCGAGGCTAAATAACAATAAGATAGCGCAGTTAATATAGAAGGTTAAGGATAGAGTAGCTTTATAGGTTTTTGTAGAAGGGCTCGGCTTACAATAATAGCTAGACCGTGTATTTACTATCTACTATATACGGCTATCTATACCGAAGCGCTCGAAGACTTTCTATAATATTATCTACGAGGACGACTATTATAAAAAGGTAGCTAAGTTCCTACGCTATTACGCTAATACTAACACTTACTATATTATTAAGGTCCTTAAGAGCTATAAGCGCGTTGCTATACCTAATCGACTATTAACTCTACTAAATAGTAATTAGTTTGTCAAGATTAATAGCGATCTACTAGAGCCGCTATAACTAGCCTCTTAGGTTAAGAATAGCCGAAAGAATACTAATAACAAGACGAAGGAAGAATGCCGTAAAGACGACGAGGTATTCTCGATAGTATTTAAGCAGTTTGAATGCAATAATTACTAGTGCGACAATAAGAAGTTAGGTCGTAGAATTAGCTGTTACAAGCGCCGTAGAGTCTATTATAGTGTAATAGGCTCTTACGCAAAGGAATTTGCTAATATAGTCCGAATTAATAGCGCTCTTCTATACTATATGCCTATAGAGATTACCGACAAGATTGTCGCTTCTTACGAAGAATACGTGTAGGCTAAGACCGCCGCTTCTGCGAAGAATAAGGCTTCTTAGTAATAGCATATAATCGATAGTCTTATAGGCGCCCTTACTACCGAGCGATAGTAACCGACTAGTAATAGCAGTAGCGGCAGCGAGTCTATCTTGCTTATAGCCTTGCTTTAGCAACAACAATAGTAGCAACAGTAGCAATAGTAGCAATAGTTTAACCCGATACTGTTTCGGCTAATAATAGCTAACCCTGCTATTATAAGCGCTCTGCAACCTTAATAGTAGGTCTAATCTATACTATAGTAACAGCTCCGTAGCTCGCTAGTGCCGCCGGATATTAGCACTATATTAGGTAACTATATAGAGACACCTCTCTTCTTAGTCTAGTTCTTCTAATAGCATCCGATATAGTAGGATAGGTAGGAGGCTATTACTAAAGCTATTATAGATAACGCCTAGAATTTGAGATAACTGCGACGCTAAGAGAATAAGAATAGGTTAGCGAGAGTAGTGCCGGCCTTCGGCATTAGATAGGCGCTTCGTAAGCAAGTTATAGACTTTGCTATAATGCGTTAAAGTAGCCGAAATTGAGAGGTACGAAGCCGATATAATAATAAGCTAGCTTTGCTAACCCTAGCTGTCTAGATCACTATAACTATCTATCCGATTTTAGTTCTATAACTTAGAGGTATAAGAGGTAATACTATAGGTAGACCGCGTGCTTTATATAGATTGATTTGGATAGAGTATAGTTAACTTCTAGCGCTATATAGGTATTGAATCTTTAATAGCTAAATGTTTGACATCAAATTTGCTATTCTAAGCCCTACCTCCGCTTTCCTTACTACCTTTAAGCTTAGCCGATAATATTAATTTTAGTTGTCGATAGATTACACTACAACTATATATACGATTTATATCGTTGTTTTTTTATATAATAGCGCCGTACCTGTTATTAAATTGCCGGCTATTATAATATCAATAATGTAGTGTTGTTGTAATAATATATAGTATTTAGCTAAATATCGGACATTTTGAAATTTGCTCCGACGTGCTAAGCCTCGAAATTGCTACGCCTTTAAGAGACGATATAATGACTTCTAGTAGCAATAGTATAAACGGCAACCGTTAGAAGTTCCTTAGAAGAGAATATAGTATTAATTTACTATAGTATAAAAGGTCTTAGCACTCCGTACACAAATCGAGCTAGAATTTAACGTATATCGCAATTACTGCCTCCTATTCTATATCTCCGCCGGCAGTATTAGACTATATTTATATAGCTTCTCGAGCACTTTGTAGTGCTTGAACTGCGCTAGGTAATTAATATTGTCACCCTATCGCTTATATACTAATTCTAGGTATACCTAGAAGTCTACCTGCTAGTAAGGTAACCTGTATTTAGGCATTGTCTGCTAGTGCTTCTTAATCTAGTACTTTAGGTGCTTAAAGCTTAATTCAATAGCGTTATAGTTAGGCGAATATAGTAGAAGAAAGAGTAGGTATATACCCTTAGCTAAGCACATTTCCTTTAGAATAGCTCTTAAATAGGTACTGCAGTTATCTAGCAGTATAACTAACCGTAGACCTAGATATAGCGTACAACGTAGTAATACTCGATAGCGTACAAATGCTATAAAGTCTTTACTATTAATACTGCCTTATTGTATTAGTAGCTCCGGAAGATAGCTATTAATCGTATATACTAGAAGGATCGTATATCGCTACGAATAGTATAGATACTAGACATCCCTTGCTAGCATACCTCTTAGTAACTATCTACGCCTTCGAAGGGCTGTCTTGTCTAAAGTATAAGACTCGTTAAGGTATACAATCTAGAAGGCCGTAAATAACTGTAACTTAGCCTTAAATAGTGCCCTTATAATAGGGTCTCTTTATAAAGCCGTACGAGATAGCAATTTGTATATAAAGTTACTACTGCTAAGATAGCGACTAATAGTCGATTATAAGACCTATTCTTTAAAGTAATTTTCTAGCAATATTATCTATATCTCTTCGAGCTAGTATATACTTCTTATTATTAGGAAGTCTAATAGATCGTTACGTATAGCCGGTATTATAATATGCGGCCTTCTACCTTTTGCTAGAAATATAGTCGCTATCTTCTTCTACCTCGTAATCCGGTTCTAAATAGTAGTCCGCGAGCTATAATAGTTGCTAAGTAGTATTTTAACGACAAGGTAGGCTTCTATACTATTATCTAAGGCCTATTATATTAGGTTCTCGTCTTGTTTTATAAGTGCAGGTATAGTATATATATATATAGTAGAGGTATACGGATTCGAAGGGAACGGCCTAAAGCTAGCTAGGTACTAAAAATACGGCTTCTAGATAGATACGGCACGAACAACACTATTATAGGTACTTAATATATATAAGAAGATACAGTATATAAGATAACATATAGTAGTCGCATTTGCGACCGTGTTACTGCAATATTTAATGCTATATAGTCGTTGGTTGCTCAGTTGGAAGATATGGTAGTAGGCCCTAATCCCCCGCTTCCAGCGTCCAGGCCCTTTTGCAAGGCACCATAGGTCTTTTACAGAATCGTACTAGTCGGCACAGGGTCGGGAATATGTAGCTCCTGGTAATCAGATTCGAATCATGGCCATGTCAGGAATTGTTACAGCAAATGCAGCGCCTGACGCCTCGCCTGGCCTCGCCTCGCCGCGGCTGCTCTATGCTCGTCTTATGCACTTGTATCTTACATTCCATCAATTCTTCACTCCTCCATCTTGCCTTCTTCTTCCTCATCTTCACCCTCAATGGCGATCTTCGCCAGACGCTCAGCCTCTTCCCGCAGATGCTTCGGCACTTCCTCATGTCTGCCCTGGGTCGGTCCGTTGACTGCGCTGATCCAAGTCATCTCCAACTCAAACTCCTTGTCCTTGTTGTCGTCATGTGCCACGTAGATAATGCGAGCCGCCTCCTTCACGCCCTCTTCCAAGCTGAGCGTCTCGCCAGCCTTTGGATCCAGCTTCAATTTCTCCAATTCAGCTTTCGCTGCTTGTCTGCCCTTGCCTGTGGCGGCGCCATAGTAACCCCAGTATAGCCCTGATGGCTCGATCATGTAGAGGTACGGTCCACCTTCCTTGACACCCTTGGTCTTGCCACCAGCTCCCACCTTTGGTCCTGAGCCTACTGCACCATCGACGTCCAACTCGGTTTCTGCATCCCAGCCACCAACGATGGCGGTGATGCCGAATGGTCGTACGGAGGAGTAGAGTGTATATGCTTGTACGTAGGCGCCCATGCGGTTCGCGAGTGATGCGACGGGGATGGGTGCTTTGTATGTGCTGCGCCAGGATGAGGCTTCGTCGCGCGCGCGGGAGACGAAGTGTCGGCCATCAGGTAAGAGGCCAGAGTGCACCTGGTCGGGGGATGCATTAGTATGGGCATCACTTTCCGACACGTTTTGCATTGCTTACCACGCCGATATTCCGATCCACCGTGGCTATCCGCTTGTTCGCATCTTTCTTGAGCAGTTTGCTTGTGACGAGCTTCTCTAGTGCCAGCACAACGCCATCCTTGCAGCGGATGCCGATTGCTGTGCCGCCATTCTCTACTGCCTTGACTGCGTATTCGACCTGGAAGTTGCGACCATCGGGGGAGAAGACGGAGTTGGAAAGATCGTAGCCCGTGCCTATGGAGGTCTATACAAGCCGTCAGCCAATGCATGTGACAGCAGTTTATGTGTTTCACTGACCATGGCTGCTGTTTTGAAGACGGTGGTGAAGTCAAGGTCGGCGCAGCAGTATGCAGAGCAGTCGAGCTGGAATGAAACTGAAGATGTCTACTGTGCGCAGCTGTATGGGGTGTGTTTGATGTATGGCGAGGTGAAGTGGTCGATTGGGTGGTGGTGTTTGATGGTTTGTTTCTAGAGCTCGGGCAGGCATACAGCCCAGGCACAGGCAGCTTCGAGATCGCGCGTCGGACGCCAGTACGGATACACCCGAGACTAATGTCACGCTTGCCTCCAAAAGCCCGCCGTAGCAGCGGGCATCGCGATTTGGCTTCCCTCTGGCCCAAGTCTACTTGCAGAAGAAGTGAAACGTGTGCCATTTCTACGGCCTGTGTTTTGCAACATCTTGTCCAATTCTTCCGCATGGCAGGACGGCCATCAAACTGCCACGTTTCAGCGGCTCAAATCAAATGTCGGCGTCGGCGTGACAGAGAAGCGCGGGCCGGCCTGTTCGTTGTTGCCCAACTGCAGGCTTTGCGGCGAATGAAATGTGATTAGTCCCAACCCAATTTTAGCTGCATGACGCGCACCGGCGTGATCACATTCCGTCACTCATCATACCGCCAGATATGACTTCTTCCCCTGCTCCCTTCCTCCTCCCACATATCAACACTCACCTCCTTCTTCGTTTTGGCACGTAGATAGCAGTCGATAGCGATAGCTTACTGTACGACCGAATACAAGCAATCTAACCAAGAACCCCCACCAGAGCGGCTACGCCGTCCAGCACAGCGCACTCCTTTGTCGGATTACGGGAAGACTCGTCGAGACCTTTGCTTTTCCGAAAGTCATTGACACGCCTTCGACTTCTCTGCTTTCAGAAGCCAATCTTCTCGACGAGAAGCCAAGGGAGGTTGTATCGACGAGAAGAGCGACCGAAGAAAGCTGAGAAGGAAGAGTGCTTGATCTTGACATTGCTCCTGCACCCTTTCCTTTTTGACTCGTACCAAATAGCAACCTCTTTTGGCATTTTGGAGGATCAATCTGGACGAACCACTTCGTCTGCTGGGTCGCATTTGGAGTTTGCCGGCACCACGGGATCAATATCGGCACCGGGACATGCTGGGTTGGCCAGTTCTTGTTCACTACTGCGATAGGTGCAGCTACAACACTCCTGTCGAGTACACAGGCACTGTTTGGACAGCAGAGCATACTTGCACACACGTAAGCCACGGCCTTGACAATAGGCCGCCCCAGCCCCTCAACCCGACTAACTTCTAGTCACATGCAGTGTGGAATCAAGGCGGCAGGCGCAGATTTCGCCGGGCAGAGCAAGGGCAGCATGAACACGTATCAGCATGACGAGCTCGCACAGCTCTTTTCACAGCTCTCTACTCAGCAGCAACAGCATCAAGCTGCAGCCGTGCAGCAGCCGCAGTACGAGGGCCAAGCACAGACGATCGTTCAGCAACTCCCCATGAGTCCCGAGAAGAGCGATGCACCGTTGACATTTGCATCGGCTCACTACACGGGCACGCCTTACATACGAGCGGAAACACAGTCTGAGCCTTCGAGAAGCCCACCGCCGCCGTATAACGAGTCATTGATGCCCGAGGCAATGGCCGAGACATTACGACAAAACAGCATCGATCCCTCTTCCCTCCTCCCCAATCAGATAGAGCTCTTCGCCAACGCTGACTATGAGCAGAGACTCCGCCTCCTTGAGCTGTGGAGGATCTCTCCACCATCGTACCCGCTCGAGCAGCATTTGAACAATCATTGGGGCTCGACGAGCCTACAGAGGGAGGAGGAAGAGGCACGAGTCCGATATGAGCAGCACATGCAAGCCAGAGACGAGCAGAGCATGATTCAAGCTTACATGTCGGAACCAATGTCAGCGATCCGACAGCCGGGTGAAGCAGCATGGCCTCCGGCAGCGCGTATACGGGCAGCGTCTATCGCTGCAGGACGTGGACCACTGAGCAGCAAGCCAGAGGTAGAGCCCTACATAGCAGAAGGATATGAGCATCACTCTGATCCCGTGTATGCCAATGCTGGCTGTCTGTGGGCTCCTGCGAGCCCCATTGGCAACATGGCAGATCAGTATGGCATGTACGAGCAGATCAGGAATCATGCGGACTGGGAACGGATGAACCAGCAGGATCATGCGAGGCAGATGGGTGACGACGAGATGATGATGTGAGCTGTGTCCAACACTCGGCTCAAGGGCGGACGGACTTTTTGGAAGGAATGTGCGGAGCCATCAATCACTTCATATGTTGTACAGGCATGGATGTGGCGTTTGCAGAGAGCATGAAATCCGAGATGCATGGGCATGGGCAGATCAGCTATTCTTGTATGCTTCGATACCACTACTGTTGTCACCTGAATTCCATTTGTATACTTCCCTACATATTACCTCCACGTCTTCATCTTCTCCATCGCAAGCGTAATCCTTCCGATTCTCGCCATGTCTCGCATTTTCACGTGCAAGCCCGGTCAAGTGAAGGCCCGGCGAGTCGGGTGGAGGGGGCAGGGGTCCTAGCTTCAGGCAATCGCCATCGACGTAATGAGCATGTGCAGGGCCATCAGTGTCACTTTCTGAACACAAACGCGACTTTTGCTGTTGCACACACTTTCTGCTTCTTGATAGAACAGCCTCGTGTTTGCCTCCACCCACTTGCTATCGTTACTGCAAGCAGACAGCGCATATATTCCTTTCAGGGAGCGACTCCAACATTGCCCGACGCCAACTCCTTCTGAACTTCTTGCAACCGGACTACAGCGCTCTGCACACTCCTGGCACGACTCAGCACGTAATAATCAACGCACTGAGCGCTTGAGCCGGTGGGCTCGCGACAGTAGGAAAGATGGACGAAGAAGTCGCTACCTTCACCGCGATCACGCAGGCCACGCCCGAGCAAGCACAGCGCTTCCTTCAGCTCGCCGATGGAAATGTCGAAGCCGCTGTAGAACTCTTCTTCAGCAATCCGGATCTTGGCAGTACAGGCGCATCTGCACCACCAGCACCTTCCCGTCCATCAAATGACCCCATCACCATCGATAGCGACGATGACGACGACGTACAAGAGACTGGAAGCAGGAGAGTGCAGCAGCAGGCAGAGAGCGACGAAGAGATGGCGAGACGGCTACAGCAAGAGATGTATGGAGCTGGTGGAGCTGGTGGCAGCGGTGGATATGATGAGGAAGGCGTAAGAGCACCTATGGCAAGAACGACCGAGACCCTTGTAGGACCAGGAAGCAGCGGTCCAGGATGGCGCGATGATCCACGACAGATGAATGCTGCTATAGCAGAGCAGATGTTCGCCCGTGACCGGAGAAATCGCGCCGCCCCAGGCATCTTCAACCAGCGAGGATCAGCGTCAATCTGGAATGACTACGATGCGTCTGATCCCGTGGCATCACGAGCAGCCTTGTCTCGCGCGACTGGAGGAGCATCCGATCAGTCTGCCAAGTCAAATCTGCTCGCGGACCTTTTCCGACCGCCCGTCGACCTCATCACGCCGCTGAGCCTCGCAGATGCGCGAGATGAGGGAAAGGATCAGGAGAAGTGGATTCTGGTCAACGTGCAGGACCCGTCGATTTTCGATTGTCAAGTACTTAATCGTGACATCTGGAAGAATCCACAGATTCGCGAGACGATCAAGGAGCACTTTCTCTTCTTGCAATACAACAAGGACGACCCACGCGGTAGCGAATACGTGAATTACTACTTCTCCAACCAGCGCGACAACGATGCCGCTTACCCTCACATCGCCATTATCGACCCACGAACCGGCGAACAGGTCAAGACATGGTCAGGCTCACCTGCACCAAAGGCGGCCGAATTCCTCATGGAGCTTCACGAGTTCCTTGATCGCTACAGTCTGAATCTGGAGAAGAAGAACCCAGTTCAGAAGCAGCGAAAGGAGTCGAAGAAGGATGTTGCAGCCATGACCGAGGAGGAAATGCTCGAAATGGCATTGCAAAACAGCCTCGCGAATGGAAGTGGACCGACCACCGACGAAGACCCTGACGCACTCACTAAGTCAGTAGAGAACATCAATGGTAAGGGCAAAGCACCAGTGAGGGACGAGGAAGATATGGACGTGGACCAGCCTACCAAGGACACACCATTCTCGAAGATCTCGAGCAGGAATGCTCACGAAGAGCCTACATCGACAGGTCCCGAGACGACAAGGATCCAATTTAGACATTCTGGAGGACGTGTCATCCGGCGTTTCGAGCTGAACGATCCTGTACGAAGAATCTACGAGTGGCTTAAGGCTGCTCCGTTCGAGGGCAAAGAGGGCCAGCCTTTTGAGCTGGTGGCTATGGGTAAGAACTTGATCGATCAACTCGACACGCCCATCGGCGAGGCTGGTCTCAAGAACGGCACAGTCATGGTTGAATTTGTGGAGGAGTAATGATCAATCAGACGACATTCCAAGTCGACTCAGAATGCGACTGCGTATTTCTCGCAGGGAAGTAATTGACAAGGCGTTCGCTTGAGATTCTGTCTCAGGAATTCGCGCCCCTCGCGCTGGGTTGAGTAGCGAGGTATCATAGATTACGAGATGGAGATGATAAGATAGCTTCACGCTATTGAACGAATCACCAGAAGAAAATTGGCTCACATGAAGTTCTTCTCAATCTCAACATCCTGAATCACTTCACCACTAACTACATCAAACTCGTCCTCCCCCCAATCTCCGTACTTCCCTGTCCATCCGTCATATCCCCATTCCTGCCCACAACAAACTCTCTATAAATTTTCGCTAATCTCGCCTGTTCCTGTTTCGAAATCGAAGCTCTTGTTTCCTGCAAAGATTTTTGGAGATGGTGCCATTGAATTATTGGTTCGGAAGTTGAAGAAGTCTCACCATTGGTTTGCGGTGCCGATGCTGAGAGGTTAGACATTGCAGAACCGGGTCGAACTTGAGATGGAGGAAGTCGAGAAGCTTGACGGTCCGCTTTGGCTTTTTTCCGGGCTTGTTGGAGAGCGAGGAGTTTTGTGGCGATTTTGGCGCGTTCGGCGGCTTGTTGAGGAGGGAATTCGAGGGGATTTTGGGGGTTGAATTGGCCCATTTGGAACCAGGTGAAATCTTGATGCTTGGTTGTTGCTGCTGTTGTTGTTGTTGTTCTTTGTTGCTTTTTTGTGTTGGGGCCGGTGAGGTCTTGAGATGTTCCATCGCCTAGAATTTCGTGGATCGCGTCGAGATGAGCGTTGTACATGACTGCTTGAAGGTCGGCGCCGGAGTAGCCTTCTGTACGGCGTGCGACTTCGTGGAGGGACGTTTGGGAGGGATTCGTGTTGTCGAGGAGGTCGGGACTTAAATGGAGTTTTTTGGAAATTGCGTGGAGAATGTCGAGACGGTCGGTTTCGTTTGGCATGTCGCAGATCAGAGATTTGTCGAGACGGCCTGGACGCAAGAGCGCGGGATCGATGAGGTCGGGTCGAGAGGTTGCTGCGAGGACGTAGACGCCGGATAGACCTTCGGCGCCATCCATCATTGTGAGAAGCATATTGACGACGCGATCCGTGACGCCTGTGCTGTCATGGCCACGTTTGGGTGCTATGGCGTCGAATTCGTCGAAGAAGAGGACGCATGGCTTCGCTGCTTCAGCTCGTTCGAAGAGGTCTCGGACTGACTTCTCTGAGGCACCGATGTATTTGTTGAGGATTTCAGGACCTTTGACTGAGATGAAGTTGAGACCGCATTCGCCTGCAACGGCAGAGGCGAGGAGAGTCTTGCCGCAACCCGGGTAGCCGTAGAGGAGGAGACCTGATCGTAGACGAAGTGGACATTTGGCGAAGAGGGGAGCATATGTGGTGGGGTATTGTAGTGTCTCCAGAAGAGTCTGCCGCGTTTCAGTCAAGCCACCTATGCTGGCGAATGTGGTTGTAGAAGAATGCAGGGTCACGCCGCGTAAAGATGCCGGTTTAAAGCCCTTCAAGGCTGCCGTGAAATCGATGCCAGTTAGATTGACATCGTCGGATAAGGATTCGTCCGAGACTGCGCGAATGAGGGCTTCACTGCGAGCTCGCGATACGAGAAGAGCCAAATCGCCAGGCATGTAGCCATCAGTCTGGCCTGCGACGTCAAGTAGATCTAGGTCTGCATCGAAACCATCTTCAACCCCATCTGGACCATTGGCCGAAGTTGGTCTGCTAGGTTCGCCGTCTGAACTTTCCATCCATTCGTGTGCAGCACCGCCATCTCGGAGTATGGTTTCTGCACCATCGTTACTGCTGGCCTTTTTCGCTTGGTTGACTAGGAGTTCGAGCACTTTTCGTCTCCCATCTTTACTCGGTGCCTTGAGGGCAATAATATCTCGCACCACGTGGCCGCCGATGACTACATTGTGTACCGCTTCCTTGCCTTGAGCAGTTGCAAGCATGACCACTCCTGAGTCTCGAGTACACCACTGCCTCACAGTAGAGCAGAGCAGTTCGCTGACTTGCCTGCTTCTGCCATTTGCGTCGACTTGCAGCTCTGTTTCAACTGGACACAGCTTGTCGATATCGTCAAGTATGACGACCGATCGTCCTCCTATCCTGGCACCCCAAGCTGCCGAGGCAAAGATGCGCTGAAGCGTGTCCTTGATGGTTTTGACTCTCGTTTCATCAGTGACCATCGTTCGACACGGAAAGTAAATGATGTTGGAAAGGTACTCGTTACGCAATTGATGAGCGAGAAGATGGGCTAGAGACGTCTTTCCAGAGCCAAGACCACCAGTCAACAGGACTGAGGAAGTATGCAGTAGACTTTTCCGTGTTTGTTCGATGGTTGTGTCGATACCCACCATCGTAGGGATCTCGTCCGGCAATGGTTCACCAGGTGGCCATTGCGGACTTTTCTGCCTTGCTGTCTCGGCTTGAACGGCAATTTCGAGCTTTCTCTCGCCACCTATGAGCCAGTGCGTTCTGGTTTTCGCCGGGTCGCCAGGCGGTGCAGGATCAAAGTCAAGAATGCCTCCTGGCCACCCTTCTCGCGCCGGTAGCAGCATTCCATCTGTGATAGGCCCCTCGAGGATACTTTTGCCAAGGATAGACTTGATGCGTTGCACGGCCTCCTCCTTCTCGGTCTTCGACTCTCCACCAAACTTGAAGCCAATGGCTTTCTTCTCTGCTTGTGTCGGAGCAAATGGGGTGATGCGAAGCCGCTTGACGATGTTTTCTTTGCTCGCCTGTTGAGATGGATCCTTCAAAGCAGAGGCTGTTCGAGGCAAAGGTGGTGGGGCCGGGTCGATGCGTACGATACCACCTACGATGCCCTCGCAGCCAAGCACAGAGCAAAGCAATGACGATAGCGCCGCATGTCGACTGTCTGGAGCATCTTCCCAAGCGACTGCCTTCGCTATGACCTTTTGAGCAGGCTGCTGGTCTGGCGTCGGCTGGGCCTGGGGATCGACCGGTTCCTGGAGTCCAGCTGGTTTGATGACAGTGACAGCAACCCATGTCACACCTCTAAGCGTCTTAGATAGCAGATGCTCGCGGTCCAGCCAGACACGCAGGCCTTCGTCTTTCAAGTCATCCCCGCCGTCCTCAAACCACTCATTTTGAAGCGCTCGGGTGACGCCACGAAGGAAGATAGGAGGCCTTGACTTCTCGTTTTCACGCTCGCCTTTATGTCTTGCTTGGCTTGCGGTGCTCCTTCCGCCCGCACTTCTCCGGCCTGTGCTTCCGATGCTTCTGTTGTCTCTTGAGCTGCTTGGCCTGTTCGATTGCCTGGTCTTCGGCGCAACAATGACTTCCGCATCGGGGGAGATCTTGACGAACGCTTGTCCGGCTGCTGGTGCTGGCACCAACGAGGTGACTGTGACGTTAGCAGTAGATGTAGGCGTGAGATGTAGTGTAAGTGGATGCGTGTGCCCTGCAGCTGGGTTTGGCAAGGCGCGGACTTGGGAGAGAAAGTTCATTTCCAGGAAGGACGAATGAAGCTCAATTACTAGGCATGGACGATCAGTATATGGGGACTCGTGGGCGTGGCAGGCATCTCTTACTTTCCCAGTCAGTCGCCGTGAGAGGCTCAATATTGACTGTATGTGCTTGAGGAGGCTCTAAATGCAGTGTCACACTAGCCTAATGTCCACCATCAGCGCCCAACTGTCCCTCATATGCTACTTCTCCGCTTGTGACACACCTTCGTCCCTTCGCCAATGCCCAGCCTCCGAGCAAATGTAGCATCAATCTCCACAGTCGGCACCTCCTTCTCTTGCGACCCGCTTCTTATGCCATCTCGACCTACTGCAGGTGCCAGTTTGTTCAGCGACTGCATGCCCGTCCATCCCACGAAGACAGATTGCGGCGCCGGTGGCCTCGCCTTTGGATCTGACCCGGCGGGAGGGGGCGGTCGGTATTGAATCTCCACCACAACATTCTGGGCGACGGTGTTTTGATTGATCAATGCATACGCCACGTTCGACGGAAGGTTGACCAGACAGCTCTTGAGGGTGGGCAGAATGGCAATCTCGACCGCGCTCGAGGCATTGCCGCCCCTTCTCCCTGCGACCGAAGCCATGCAGTGCTAGTCGAGAGGGGTGATGCGTCCATCTACAGATCGCGAAATGTCCCTCAAAGAATATGCGGACATACAAGCCGCTCGTGAAAGTCGCGACTGGCATCCACAGCGTTCCGATGCCGATGCCGATGCCGATGCCGAGGCTCGAAACTCTCTCTGAGCCGAAAACAACACCTTCACCAAAACAAATACCACTTCGCTAGTCTTCAATAATCACCACCGACTTGAAGATAGAGGAACTGTATTTCATTGCCGATAACATGTATTGTGTACTCCGATATATACATCACGACACTGGAAAATATGCAGAACCTCAATGTCTCCGCTCTAAATGCCTCTTCAAAATATCCTTCCGACTGAAGCCCTCCCGATGGTACTTGCAATCCTGATGAGGGCATGTATGCGACCTCCCACGACGATGGACGCTCTCGACATGCCTTCGCATATCCTTGCGAGATCCGAATTTGACGTCGCAACTGGAGCAGGCATGCAGAGCGCGGGAAGCAGGAGGTCTGGGTTGATGTGGTTGGGGGAGCAGTATGGGTTGCATCTGGCTGTGACCGTTGCTGGGCTGCTGAAGGTCTGCTGGCAAAAGAATTGGCAGCATCATGATTGGACCGGGCAGATCGCATGTCTCCTCCAGCTGCTTCCAATCTGGCATCCATATCTGGAGACCAGGCGGAGTGGGTTCCATTGAGGTCGCCGGAGTGATCGAGTATGAATTCGACCCATCCCTAGGAGGCATCAAAGCTGGGAACCAGTCTTGCAGCGGCGACGCAGAATCTTGCCCCATCCGGACGTCTTGTGCCACATCCCCCAGCTCAACTTCCCAATATAGATCCATATCCATCGCATCCACATCGTCAAGCAAATTCGTAAATTCAGATGTTTGGGTATCGAGCGTCTTGGTGTTGTTGTTTTACTCCATAGTTTCGTCAAGGGGGCACGAGTTCAGCCGGGCCAGGGCCATGTGTGATCCAAGTGTGAGTGAGTTTTAAGTCATACACAAGTGGACACTTTTCCAAGCAGGATCACACACGCCCGATTGAAGTGCCAGGATTTCGAACTTGCTGGTAGCACTTGCTCGCCATCCGAAGCATAAATCCCAAACACCTTTTGCAGTGTCATACTTAATGAAAGAAAAAAATTCGGCTCTACCAGTCTCTGCTCATCGAGTTAGATTGTTTGTCTCTGACTCTCACAGACTTGTAGATACTCACGTCGCAGGATCTGAAGCATTGCTCAAGATATCAAGGGGAAATCTCCTTCGCTCTTGATTCATTTCCTGGATAGAAGATCCGAAGAAGACGCCTCCGGGCACATTTCGAGCGAACATGGCAAGCCACGCTGGAGCATCGAAACACCCCTGATGGGTGGCTATCGGCAGCATATCGAGACTATCCAGTTCTTCATGCCTCCAGTCCGACCGATGAGGTTCGATCCCAAAAATGGTTCCGCTGAAAGTGCAGCCATGGTCAACGCAAACGAAGACACGGCTTTGCTTCACCTCCAGCGGCATCGGATCAGAATCAATGAGCTGCGCATTTCCTAAGTCCGTGCAAGCAGGCGCCATGACCACCGGACACGTTGTCCGAAGACGAACGAGCAGCAGCCAAACGTTTTAATCTCGAGTAAAGGGAATTTTGAATTAAAAAACAAAAGAGGTATGAAAGTGAAAAAGTTATAGTTTAGTGAAAAGAGGGTGGAGAGATTTAGATTGTAATAAAAGAGCAGGACGTGGATCATGTATATATGATGTGCTGCCTACCGCATCGAGACACCGCAGGATTTAGCTAAGCCATGGCGGCCACCAATCACGACGTACATGAACGTTATGTAAGGATGCCTTTTCCAAGACTCTAGATGAATAGGCCTGTGTCGTTTGTACGACATACATACTCTCTAGAGAGTCTTTGACATTGAGACGGAGTGCTCCTCGAGAATTCTTGTCCAAACGAGCGACATTTGCAGAATCCCGTCCTTCATGATAAGTGAGCTGGGTACAGTAGTATCTTTTCTATACATCAACAATCGACTCAACCCCCTCGCTATGCAAATTTCCTCATAACATTCATGATTCATCATCCAAGCAAATTTTTCAAACGCCATATTGATCTCACCCTGATACCAAAATTCCTGTATCTGTCAACCCCCCCCCCCCCCCAGTCTTATCCTGTATCCAACCTTCATCTCATTCTGTATTACATCACTTCGATAAACCAACAACCTCCGACACCGTCTTCTCAATCTCGAGACTCTCAGCAGCAACCCTCACCTCCTCAGACGCAAAAAAAGTCCTCCCTCCGAATCCCCGAACGATCACACATACTCCTAAAAATCCCCCCTCGATCATAAAGCCGAATAGGAGAATCCAGTTCCGCAACATTCCCCGAATCCATCACAAGAATCCTATCGTAACCAATAATAGTCTTGAGCCGATGCGCGATACAAAGTAGCGTCTTGCCCTTGAAACCCCTCACGATGGTTTTCTGGATCTTTTGGTCGGTTTCGAAGTCGACGGAGGAAGTGGCTTCGTCGCAGATGATGATTTGTGAGCCGCGGACTAAAGCGCGGGCGAGGGCGAGGAGTTGGCGTTGGCCGAGGGAGAAGTTGAGGCCTTCGTCTTCGACGGGAGTGTCGAGGTGGATGCGGCCGGCTTCGTCGTTGATGTTTTGGTCTTCGCCGACGAGGTCGGCTTGGCGGAGGGCGTTCCAGAGGTCGAGATCGGTGTGTTCGTTGAAAGGGTCAAGGTTGCTGCGGATTGTGCCGCGGAAGAGGGTTGGGTCTTGAGGGATGATTGCTAGACGGGATCGGAGGTCGTGGAGGCCTATTGTGGCGATGTTGATGCCGTCGATGCTGATGCTTCCTCCGGATAGTTCGACGAGTCGGAAGAGGACGGACATGATTGTTGACTTTCCTGCTCCGGTGCGACCAACGACTCCGATACGCTCGCCAGCGCGAACGTGCATTGTCAGGCCCTTCAGTACAAGAGGTAAACCGGGGCGATACCGCATTTGAACGTTGTCGAAGTCGATGGCTCCGTGTTCGGGCCAGGATGCGGGTACATCGCCGAGGTGGAGTGGTGCTTCCTCTTCAAGCTCGGTTCCGTAGTAGTGGATACGCTCTGTACTGTTCATGTTGTTCTCGACTTCAGCCAGCTGTCTGACTGTGAACTGAATCATCTGCACAATAGAGAGAATGTAGGAAAGAACCAGGCCTCCTGTGCTTGGGTTGATGGAGAATCGGGAGGTAACGACGAGGATTCCGACGGTGAAGACCAGAATGTTGCCAAGTGCGTCCAATCTCGTGGACAGCCAACGTTGATTTGCGAATGTAAGGAAGTAAGCGCCGTCCATGGAGTCGACCGATGCGTTGACGCTCTTTGCGAATTGTCTTTGTACGCCGTATGCGCGAATTGTTGAGATGCCTTGAACAGCTTCGCCAAAGCGAGCGAAGACGACGCTTCGCAAAACAGCTTCGTGTCGTTTCAGCTCTCGTGCTGATGCCCGATAGTAATTGGCAGCAAATACGAAGAGCACGGTCAGCGGGACCAGCGCGATTACAAAGTAGTAGTAGTATGCAATAATAAGAATGAAAACAGAAACGATCATGACCATGGTGAGGAAGAACATGCGAATGGAGTCTGTCAGAACGTTGTCCATGGTGTCAACGTCCTTGGAGAAGCGATTCGTGATGCGGCCAAGAGGAGTGGTATCGAAGAAGGACATGGGTGCTCGGAGCACTCTCGTCATGGCACGGTGAAGCATGACTTTGCTGGCCTTGGTACCGTATACGGTGAGTACCACCGAGAAGGCGAACATCAGAAGTGCTTGAATGACTCCAAGAGCCGCGTAAACGCCAATATAGGTGCCGAGCTGCAGGCCCCACTTTTGTGAAGTCCAATATGACAGCCATAAACTTGTCATGATATTGGCGCCTTGTGAGATGATCAAAAGGCCAACGATGACGGGTGCGACCATAATGGAGCCAGCTGCTTTGATGTAAGCCATGTAGACGTTCCACCCAACGCTGTCAACAGCTTTTTCCTCTTGCTGCATCAAGGCGGCAGCAGCTTTACGGCCTTTCCTCTTCTTGATGTCCTTCTTCTCTTCCTCAATCTCATCTTCATTTGCATGCTCTTCTTCGTCTTTCTTCTCTTCGGTGGCTGTAGTTTCCATGAGTTTTTGGAACTCAATATCATGAGCCATCAAGTCTGGGAAAGTAGCGATCTTGTGTATCCTGCCTTCCTTCATCCAGACAATGCGGTCAACGCGATGCAGAACATGTAGCTGATGTGTGGCCAGCACGCGAGCCTTGCCTGCAAGAAGACCGCAGATGGCGTTGTCCATGATGTGTTTGCCAACGTGGGCGTCGACAGCTGAAAGAGGGTCATCCATCAGCACAATGTCGGCGTTGAAATATATTGCTCGGGCGATGTTCAAGCGTTGTTTCTGACCACCGGAGACAGTGATACCTCGCTCACCAATCTCCGTCAGATCACCAGCGGGCAGCATGTCTAGGTCAGGTCGTAGTGCACAGGCATCGACGACCTTCTCGTACCATTTGCGATCAAATTGTTTGCCGAAGATGATGTTTTCCTTAACTGTCGCGTTCTGAATCCAGGCATATTGAGGACAGAAGGCCCGATTTGCACCAAACGTGACGCTTCCGTTTGTTTTCCTCATATCACCAGCAAGGGCTGCGAGAAGCGAACTCTTTCCAGATCCAACTGAACCGATGACGGCAATAAGCTCGTCACGACCGACAGTGAGATGGACATCTTTGATCTCGAAAGGCTTCTTCTCCTCTTCGTCAATTGAGCTGCCTACAGTCGTGGTCGGACTGGGTGGAAGCTCGTCCAATTTTTCCTTCGAAAGAGCCTTGGATCGTCTCTTGTCTTCTTTTGCCTTGGCTTTATCCTTTTTCTTTTCCTGCTTCATTTGCTTAATGCTTTTCGGCGCCTGACCAGGTACCCCTTCTGCGCTATCACTGGTATTGCGCTCCCAAGTGAAATCTCCACTCTTGATCTCGATTGCGTACTTGGCTCCCTTCTCCCAGACAGCCTCGTCACGAATTTCTTCCGCCTCCAGGAACTCTGTGATTCGCGCAAGAGAAGCATTGGCATCCACGAGTTGTCCAAGAACCATGGGAAGGAAGTTCAGCGGAATGCGAATAGCGTTGAAAAGCGCCAGGGACGAGAAGATCGGTGCTGGGTTCAGAGCGTGCTGCGAAAGTGAGTAGGTAATGAATGCGAGCATAGATGCAAAAATTGGAATCGACATGGACACGGCCATGATACCGTTGCGAATGGACAAGAGAAACGAGACCTTGTTTATTTCACGAGTCCGAATTTCTTGCACTCGTCCAAGGAAGCTCGTTTCCCAGCCGAAATACTTCACAAAGCGAACCGAGGATATGATCTCCTGCGTGAGGCTGACACGCTGATCGGTGATCTTGTTGATGACGGTGCGGCGAGCCATCAAGCTTTTAATGGCACGGCCCAGTAAAGGCATTATCAGGCAGATGAATGCGAAGCCAGCAAGCGCGCTGTAGGTCAAGTTGATGCACAAAAGCGCCAGGGTCAGCACGATCTGGATCGGCGCCGTCCATACCATGTGGCCCATACCGGCGGCTTGATCAATGCGGTAGGTGTCGGTGGACATGAGGTTGACAATGCGCCCATTTCCCCAGCCTTGACCATCACCGGCAACGCCCCTTTTCTGGCCCTTCGACTTCTGTGCATCTTGAAGCTTCTTCTGGAGATATGCCTTCTCTTGCTTGCTGCCAGGTTCACACCCAGGCTTTTCTTGGGGCTCGTCCGTCGCACCGCCTGCTTTCGCACGGCCCGACAATCTCATCGCTTTTTCGAAGATGACCGAGATGAGGACCGAACGGCATTGCCCGCCTACCATCATACCGCGATATATGAAGTGGTTCGTGCACATTGATTGGATGATTTGCATGCCGGTGATGCCCAGCACCAAGCCGATTCCTTCGCCGATATGGGGAGCGGTTCCTCGCCCAACCGAAGCAGCGTACGCCTTGCCTGCAAACGCAATCAAGTACCTCATGGTGAAGGGCGACAGGACCTGAAGACATGACGCGATCAGATTGCATGTTCCGCCGATCCAGAATTCCGTCTTGTAGGTGTCGTACAATGCCATGGACAAGGGCGAAAACCAATCTTTTCGACCCTTGCGGTATTCCAAGGATGCCAAAAGTCTATCCTGCATCACCTCTACCCTTCTGTCTGGATTCACGGCCCAAACATCATTCAATTCCAGTGGCCGGTTGTAGCCGACGCCCATCAGCGGCGAGATCCATTGGAAGGTCAAGATGCTGAAGAATCCCGCTTGGTGCTCACGCGACGGCTGGCGTTCATCGGGCACAGGCATTCGTTCTCGGTGCCTCAATGGATTGAGTCGTTCGCTCCATCTCCGTTTCCGTGGTGTCGACGCGTGGGCGCCTTCGTCAGACTCCGTTGCAGCGTAACTGGTACCTGTGGCCGTGGTCCAATTACTTCTTGTTCGCTCGATGTGAGGCTCCTGCTGTTTCCTCTCCAAGTCACTTCCATCCTGGGAACTGCGTTCCTCTACGCCTCCGTAATCGACGACTTTCTCTTCGTGCTTGAGCTCCTTCTCCAAGCCCACGCCTTCGCCTTCGCCTTCGAATGGCTCCTCGCCTAAGGGTGGAGTTTCCGAGTGACTGGAGTCGCCAGGCACAGCGGTCTCAGAAGTTGTTGACGTCCACGGTCTATCTGCTCCCGGTGTTGGTGTCCATGGTCTATCCGCTCCCGGAGCCGACATGGTCGATGCAGCTGTAAAGACTGACTCGGAGAGAAGAGCACTGGCAAGCACAGCACAAAAGACGCGGCTGCGCAAAGTACATAAGAGGCAGTGAAGGCATCACTCGTCAACGATCGGCAAGGAACGATAGCTTTCCCCCGACCGCCACGCCACATTTACCGTTTATAATCAACGCTCTTGATTGGGAGCTGCAGACGGCAAACGGCACGTCCGTACATGAGCTTGTCCGCTAAGACGAAGAGCTTGATTTCTCGCACGCGACTCCGCAGGACTAGCGGCGAACAAAGAAAGCATGAGATGGATACAGTATGATGATGATGATGAGACAAAGCTGACAGTGAGGAATGCATTACGATGAGGAGAACATGGTGCTGGCGCGGCGTGTGCCTTTGTATGGCTAGAACATGCACGATTGATTCTCCACCAAAATCCAGCAGGGAAACGGGTATTCCGTTTGAAGACTGTCGGCGAGAAGGCGACTTCCACGCTTCCGACTCCCGATTGCAATTTTTGATGTAGTATAGCTCGCTCGATGTGCCTCGCATCCGTGGCCGAGGCTAGAATATTCCGACCGCCGATTTTCAATCCCTATCGTTGAGTCGTTGACACTGGATAGGCCTGTCACCACTTTTCGGAGATCAAGCTGGAATGACATAAGTTTTGCGAGTAGGACGACATGCCCATCCCATGTAGGGAAGCGCAAGGTCAAAACGCGTGCGGCCGAACTCGGGCGTCTGGCACTCGGGCATCTCACAATCTGACCTCCCGAAAAATGGACGAGTCACAGACCGTGAAGCCCATTAGAAACTATTGTCTAGCCTGTTTGTATTCGGAGCGGCTAACCGCTTTTGCAATGGCAGTAGCCGACCTCCGACTACTTGCAGATACAACGAGAAAAGCCAACAAATCATCTGCCATGCTGTTAGAAAATCGGCGTGCTGAGAAAATACTAGTCAAACACCACGAGTTTGACTCCGGCATGGCATGGAATAGTCGCAGAAGAGAGCGAGTAGAGACTCGAGCCCGCACAAATCCGGTGGTAGGGCGGAGGAGATACTGCACAAGAAAGAAAAGAGCGCAGTTGATGAGAAGATAATAGTCGCAGTCATGAACATTACAAATACTGCATTGTATGTATATAATTATAACTTTGTTTTTTTCTCTCAAGTTTATGATTATACATTGCTTCCTTCGTCGCTGTGCCGCCAACACCAGGAAATTCGTAACGCTGTTGTTACCACACAAAGACATTATTCTTTCAATTCGGCCTGCGTTGAAGGAAGATGGGAATATCAGTCAGATCGAGCCCGTAGGTCTCGCTTGTTTTGACGCTCTTGCGGTTGACCGTCTCAGTGGAACCGTTGCGAGAGCCGGCACTGGCAATGAAACCAGTTTCGCGGTCCCAGCCATAGCCGAGTCCACCGCTGAATCGGTCAGGCACGTCTGTACTGCGGCTGGGGAGTGGTGGTTCCTCCTCCACAAGTCCGAGATGCGCCAACTCTTCTGTCCTGATGTTACATGAGCGGCGTGCTTTGTTCAGAGCACGAGATCGCTCCGCGACGACAGAGTCTGTAGGCCTGTAAGGCAGGTAGTTACCGGCCTGGGATGAGCCTCTATTTGTGCCTTGGGCGTTCTGGGACAAGGACGTGCTTGAGCTGTTGCTCGTGGCATACGAGGTGCGTGATGAGACTGTAGAGACCGTTGTTGTCGTGGTAGTGGACGAGAAAGCAGAACTTGAACGACCGACGTCAACCTTTGATGGTCGTTCATCCGAAGACCACATTGTCACAAAAGTGGCCGTCGACACCATGCTGTTGGTGCGCATCAAATTCGCGTCGACGGACTTGGCGTCCTTCGTGTCTTCCAGGAGGTCTGATGTTGATTGGATTGCGCTCGGAGCACTGTTCTTGCGATCACGAGACTTGGCTCGGCTAGCACTCTCCGAAGTGAGAGGCGTGATGTATCGCGAGACGACGATGGCGGGCGCGTCGGACTCGTTACCAGTCTCGCTCTCCGACACTACGGGAATCTTCTCTTCAAACGGCCTGGCTGTGCCGACTGAAGTCAGAGTGGTTGTACTCTCCATCGCAGTTGTCTTTTGCTGCCACAGTTTAGATTGTGTCTCCCAGCCAGGCCATCCCGAATATTTTGCATCCTGAGTTGGAGAGGACGATCTCGGAGCGTCTGTGTTTGCCGGGCGATATGGCAAATAGATCCCGGGCTTTGGGATTTCTTCGAAGCTGAATCTCGGGTGAGCGCCTTCACTGTTTCCAGCCGGTTCGTCTTTGATGCTTTCGGCTTCAAACAAGTCCTCGTCATCGGCACGTGGCTTCGACTCAACAGCCAACTTCGGTGCTTCTGGCTTTGGCTTCGGAATCTGCTTCACTACTGCTTGCTTCCGAGCCTGGGCAGAGTCGACGCTGGTGCGAGCTAAAGGAGATGGAGATGGCTTGGGACTCAGTCTCAACTTTTTCGCAACCATTTCCTCTGCTCTTGAGACTCTGAGGTCCATGTCGGCTGGAAGCTCAGGTAGAGGTGGGATACAGCTGGATGCATTCTTAGAGGCACCGGCGTATGGGAAAGCTTGGAGTAGTTGAGCTTCCATGGCCGCCGCCGCCGGAGAGGAGTCCTTCGAAGCTGGCTTGCCTTGCCATTCTGGGAAAAGGTCCTCCACTGTGCGCTGATAGCTGCTTATGTGAGGCATTGGTAAGACTGGGGCGATGTCTGCTCGAGTCTTCTTGTCAGGCATGGTATTGCTGTCTTTGGCCTTGGATTCGGCCAGATTTATCGTCGCCCGAGCCCTGAGGTTCTTTGAAGACTTGACTTTCGATATGGCCTTCGGTAGTGCGGCACTGAGTCTGCTCTCCTTGGCTTCCTCATGTGAAGCCGGATCCAAAGCACGAGCGACAGAGCTGAAGTCTTTGTGCGTCGATTCGGTCGAACCGGCACTTCTCGTGCAGCTGACGCCAGCGGTATCAACACTTTGTCTTTTTGAGCTGAGTCCGAAGCTTGCGATACTTCTGTTTCGTCGGCGTTCAGGTGTAGAAGGCTGAGGCGTTGCAGGCAGAGATGGCGCGGGAGACTCTTCGGCCTTCGGCTCTTGGAGAGTGCTGTGACTGCGCTTGCGTGCAAAGCTTTTGCTTCGACGTCTCCAGCTACTGGAGGTCCTCTCTGTAGCGGTGGAAGCAGTGCTCTTGGATTCATCGTCGGCGTCAGAGGCACTCACGCTAGGAGGTACACTGTGGAAGACAGTCTTTCCAGACTTGGTATTTGTGCTCGATCCCAAGTGCAGCGTGGGAACTGGAGGCGAACTTGCTGGCGACTCCATGCTGCGTGCTTGAGAAGCAATATCCATTGACTGGCGCATTCGGACCTCACGCACCGCTTCCGGCATACGTTTCTGCAATCTTCTCTTGCCGTCCATTGACTGACGACTTGCAGCGTAATCGCCTGACGGCGTCTGCATAGCAGTTGCCGTTGCAATGACACGATCACGATCGGACTTCTCAGTGCTCTTCACTTCAGCAGGCGCAAGACTTGCCCGCTTACTTGCTCTGTTCCTGGATTTGAAGAGTGCGAGCGGCGAGAAGCTTTTCTTCTGGGGTGGCTCATTCAGCTTGATAATTTCGGGACGAGGCGATGGCGTAGCTGTGAGCGAAGACGTGGCACTCAGCTGCTCGTGCATGTTGATGAGACCTGCAACATCGCTGTCCACAGCGTCCTTGGTCCGTGGCATTTCTGCCTTGATGGTGGCAGCGCGGGAGGGAGCAAGAGACTCGAGTTCAGCTGGCTGCTCTGGCGTGGGCTCAAGCTCCTTTCCGAGAAACGAGCTGTTAAACACACCCAATTGGGGCGGCGAGCTGCAGTTGGAGGCTTCAGAACAGTATCCACTGTCCTGCTTGTAAGGGACTCTAAAGCGCGGGTCCAAATGCGAGACGCCACTTGACTTGCTCTCATCACTTGAAATAGCCGTACCGCTCGGGACCTCGTCTGCATCGCTGCCATCGGTCGTGATGTCGGAGCGTCCGGTCAACTTGAGCAGTGCCTGGACACAGGCATCCGTTCCAGAGTCTCGTTTCTCCTCGTCGATGTCATGGACCGTACTCAGACGCTTGGTGGGATCGAGTTCCTCGTCATATGGGCTAGACGTGATGTCACAATCCAGCATGTATTCATTCGAGAGATGAGCAGCGCGGTGTGCCCATCGCTGGCCGAATCGAGGGAGATCAGTTGTGATACTGAGGTCAGCAGAGTGCCCAACTGTTCGTCGTTTGGTATGTCTCTGGGACCGCAGTTCCACTCGGTCATCAGGCTTGACCTTTGCGCTTGATGATTGAGGCATCGGGATGCTAGTTGTTCCTACTGGTGCAGTCGTGATGCGCATACCCCACTGCTTCTGTCTGCGCTCAGCAAGAGTTGCAGGTGGGTTGGTCCTCGCAGAATCGAGACTACCCTGGCCAAATTGCACATCGAGACTGAGACGGCGGGAGGGTGTGAGATTCGGCTGCTGGACAGGAGTGTCTTTCTTGACGACTTCGGCATCATCCTCATCTGTGACGTCCTGGATCCTTGCCACCTCTCCTTCTTTCTCCGCGACGAGCTTTGTAATGATACCTGGCTCGGGCGACGCACTGCCATTCGTGATGCGTAAAGTACCAGGACCAAATGCGCCGTTGTGGACGGTGGTAGTATCGGGTGCTGTTCCTGTGCTGATCATCGACAGTGTCCGCGCTCTCGTTCGGACTGATGCGAGTGCGCGAGTGTCACTGAACCAGGCTCCTTTCTTCTCCTTCGAGGCTTCAGTCATCTTGGCCACATCTTCCTGGGACCTCAAAGGATCGCCAGACATGCCGCTGCGAGTGGCGAGGCCGGGTGGAATGGCAGATCGAACACGATCTCGTGGTGCAGCCGAGGTTGAGTAGGCGACATGCTCCCCAATGGAAGACAGTTGTGGGACAGCTCCTGGCGACGCATCCCTGGTTGGGAGAAGTGCTCGATGAAGCGAGACAAGTTCCTCCGGGCTGGCTGTCTTCTTCAACTCCTGCAGCAGATTGATAGCTTGCTCGAGGTCGAGCTTGGTGCTTTTAAGTAGATCGGGCACGGGCGGCGGTGATCGGCTGCTTTCGAGACTGGAGCCACTCATGGTTCGGATGAAATCGATGCTGTTGACTGAAGTGGGAGAAGCACCGAATTCCTGGTCAAGAGCCGAAGCCGATGCCGTCCTGGTCAGGCGTTTGTTGAAAGGGGTCATATCGGCAGCAGTGCCGACGTCTTCCTCGAATGTGCCGCTGGGCTGACGCAGGAAGGCAGGCCGTTGGGCACTCCTGAGATCACTGACCGATGTTCGAGAGCAATTCAATTCGCTGTAGTCGTCGAGTTGAGATTGCAAAAGCGAGTTGTCGGAGCTGCGTGTCTTGACGAGTTTAGGTCTGTTGGACTTGATGGGCATGCTGGCGATGCCGCCGAATTAGCGATTACTCTGCAGGTTGTCAGCGGAAATGCCGTGTACCGATGAATGCTCAGCAGACTCCGTACAGAGAGAACGAGGGTCGACGTCTGCCATCAACAGCCTGCCATTCGTCCACGTGCCCCGCCAATGCCAATGTCCAAGGAGGAGATGTCCTTCCCTCTTCGACGCAACAGGCAATCGGGCAGGCGTGCGGGTTGAAGTTGCAGCAAGAGCAAGAGCAAGGGCAAGGGGAGGAAATAATAAGGCGTGCGCTTTGAAGAGCTGCAGTGGGGGTTGATGCGCTGGAGGAGGTTCCGTGGCGGGAGTGGTTCGCCGACGTTTCACGTGTTACGTGTACCGTTCACGCAGCCGTGAGGTCGCTGGGACGATGCGATGCGATGCGATGCGATGCGAATACAAACGAGGGGATGAGCGCGCGGTATTTGGCGCTCGAAGGGCAGGGCCGCAGGATGTGTTGAGCACGAGGATGGAGGATGGCGGAGCACGAGGCCGTCCGGGCGAAGGCCATGGATGATGGAGCTGCGAAACTTGAATTTCGCCTGCCTGCATCATCAACACAAGCAGCTCGACATGAAGGTGGACGTGGCAGGGATGCGCGTTTCAAGGGACCCCGGGCAGCCACGAGCTTTCTTGATCCCGCATCCACTAGAACTAATCCCGTTTCTGCGCCGCCGTTTTAATACAGACTGCAGTATGGAGGTGGACCCGGAAGTCAGGAAAGAGCAGGCCAGGCAGGGCAGTCACGGTGGCGGCGGTGGATGTCCGATGAGGTGCAGGTGGTGGGTGGTGGGTAGCACAGACAGCGTGCTGCAGCCATGGCAACTAGTACTATCTCATTATGCAGCAAAACGGCGCGAAAGAAGGCTGTTCTTGCGCAATCTGCCTGGCCGTTGCCATTGTGACGTGCCCATATTATTATTGCTGCAGCGATGCCACTCAGGCTTCAGCAATTCCCCCAACGATATCACACGATATCACATCAATTGCCGTCAGCCTCGTGACGACGAGAGCACATACATACACACTGCACGTCGAAGCAGTTCCAAGAAAAGACGCCGCTCACGGACCCTGACCGCGCATGCGCATGCCTTCTTCCAAGGCGCGAGCGCGTCTTTTCACACTTGCGCGCAATACACACCTGCACATCCAGACACGCGCAAATCTCTTTGCACCGCACATCCACGTCGGCTATCTGAGCACACACCCCGATGAACACTCTCCCGGAGGTCAAACGTCAATCGCGCCGCCACAACGCCCACCAACTCATGGCCCACCTCATACGACGCCTGGTCTGTTCTCGCTATAGCAGCATTCCCACCTGAGGCTCACACGTGCCTGAACGGAGCGATCATGCCTGTGACACCTCCTATTCTGCCACTGCCTTACTCACGGAGGTCCTCCACTTTCTGCGCTGTCTGAAAGACAGGGTCCATCCTGTTGCAACAGAACACCGCCACCTGCCACCTGACGAACTTGAACACGACAACGAAGCATTGACAGCCCTTGTTTTGCTTCGCGCCTGCCAATTTCCAAAGTCAGTCGACGACAAGTGCAACTTTCAACACTGCTGCCGAACGTCGCTGCCCAGTGGCTAGTCAGTCTGAATATCGGCCAAGATGGCTGGTCAGTGCTGCAGCCTCCAGACCGTCACCCTCAGACAACACATCGTCCACCAGCATTGCATCGTCCTGCACATGTCTCCGAGGTGCATTATCACACAAAAGCAGGCGAACTTCTGCCTTGCCTGCCTGTTGACATGTCGCTTCGGATGCAAGCCTCGCTCAAGCTTGTGCTAACGAGCTCTGGCATAACATCAAGGTTAGCGAACGGCCTGTCCGGCTACTGAGCTCCTTCGCGCCATGCTGGGCAGTAAAGACAGCCGTGCACGAAGGACTGCCTTCGCCGCCTCCGCATGATGCACACGCCAACAAGGCCGTGATCAGAATTAATCCTCCGAGAACAGGCAACCAGGTCCACACTGAAACGCTGACTGACCACCCAAGAACGGCAATAGCTTTTCATTGCTGAATACAACTCCGAATATATCCATGTGAGATCATCACGTTCCTGCAACGGTCGAATCCCGCATAGAATCTCGAGAAAAACGGACATCATCTCCGACGAGACAGCTGAAACGACCCTCCCCTCATTGCGTAATGCCTATCTACGTACACGACGATGAACAACCACAAAGATCGCCAATGTAGACTCTGACTCGGGAAGATAGAAAGCCGATCGAAAATGAAGATCATCGCTATATACAAAGTAATCCCGAAAATTAAACGCGAGGAAAGACAACACAAGCACGCTAATTAAGCTCAATCATCAATATGGCAACAGCCACGTGCTTTGGGGTATCGAGAAATCAACTCCCAAAAAAGTGAATCCAAGAAAAGCGACACCCGAGTACAAATAGCCTCCCGATCGCTATACCATCTCGAATCGCCACTACGTCCGCGCAGATCTCAAAGCCTCATCACCTCCTATCGCACCCTCCTCATCCCCATCCCCACCGTCCCTCTTCTGCTTATTATGATTATTAAACTTATAATCCCTCTTCAACTTATTCACCCTCTGCTTATTCCTCAACTTCGCATCCTTCGCCGCCTGCGAGAAAACTCCATGTTCATGCGCAATCGCATCTTCATCTTCCAGTCCCGCTTCAATGTGATCGAGTTCATCGACGTCAGATGAAGAAATGGAAGAAGAGCGACTGCGCATTGTATAGACGATGTGCTCGCCTGAAGATTTTTTGCGTTCGCGTTGTTCTTTTTTCATGCGTTGTTGCCGTTCGGCGTCTTTGTTGCAGTCGAGGGTTAGAATGTGGAGGCCGGGGAGTTGATGGCTGAGATAGGTTTGGAGAAGGGGGAGGAGGTCGGCGTTGGGCCGGTAGGTGCCTGAGTCGTTGTCGATGACTAGTTCGTAGGATGCGGGATCTTTGGGTGCGTCGTCACTGCCGTTGATGTCGCTGGGTGGATGTTCTTCGTTTTCCTCATGTTGGGGCGGATGCGATTGGCTTGAGGATTCCACCGGGTCTGGTGGCGGGGGTCGGTGGCGATGCTTGAGTCTGCGAATGAAGAATTCTCCGGAAAATGCGATGTAGATGGAGACGTCGCTGTGCATGGTATGTTTGGAAAGCATATCGATTCCGAATTCTTTACCGGTTTCCGTGAATCTCCAGAGCGCATCCAAGGTGATGACATAGGTGTATATTCTGCCTCCTTGGTCGTAGTGTACGAGGTCGAGGAACTTTTTGGTCATTTCAGGCGACGGACCTTCTGGGAAATGACCCCAGACTGTGGAGCGGCCGAAGTTGTATACACGCGCGTGCTGGTGGTGGAGGGCTTTGCTCATAAGAACACCCGACAAACCGGCACTCGTGAACATGCGGCCCACCCATGGTTTGAACTCGACGAATCGATGGTACAGCTGGGCTGGGACAGGTCCCTGGAGCTGCATTTGATTTGCTTGGAAGTTGTAGTGATCAACTTTCTTCTTCGGCTTGCCGTCCGGCTGCTGGCCGTTCGTCTGAGCGCCATTGGTGTGCGCTTGTTCTGCATCATCTTGGTCTGGGTCTTTGACATTAACAATGCGGCCAAGGATCGGACTGTAGTGCCGTGTCCAGCGACAAGGTCCAACAGTGTACAATCGACCACTCTGTCCATCTTCCGCAGTACGTCCGAGCATCTCAATGCTCAAATACAGATACCCTCGGAAATGCTTGTTCTGTCTGAAACAGGTCGTCAGAGCTTGCAGCAAGTAGGCCCTCTTGCTACCATCGTGAGCGATGAGCTTGTATCCCTGGTTTTTGATACCAGGCCAGCTTTCATCTAGTTGCGGTACAGTTACATGCACTTTGCCGAGCAGGTCGTCCTTGTCAGCCAGATCTTCATCATATATGCGAACCTTCATCTTCAATCCAGAGGCCGGCACATTGGCGATGATCCACTCTTCGTTCCATTCTGGCTCGGTGTTCTTGCGCACGGTCGGCGTTCTCCATCGTAATGGTGGGTCCTCCTTGTGACGATTTGGAGTATCTGTGTTGATCTGAGCTAAGCAGTAGGGATCCGAGGAGAAGCCATTAACATCTGCAATGGGAAGGTTTTCTGCTCTATGCAACGTCACTTTTATGGTATATCCTGGCGGTCGCGACGGTATGGGCGTGCTGTCAAATCCACCTGAGGGTCCTGGTTTCGATTTTTGCGTATCCCATCGTGCTGCGGGCGCACTATTATCTGGCTCTTGCTTGGTCTGCTTCTCGTTTTCTTCCGGCTGGCCATTGATATCTGCATGACCTTCTTGCGTCGCCTTCTTGTTCACGGTCTCGGGCGACTGCTCTGACGCATTTTGCGCAGCATCCTGAGCCTTTCCCTGCTCTTGCGACATGGTATTGGTTGTGCCGCGATAAGCCGACACCTTGTCGTCTCGCGATGCTTTCTCGTCGTTCTGCAGTTCGAGCTGATGCGGTAGAGAATATATCAAGGCTTCTGTGCAAGGCAGAAATGCGCGCGTCATGTAAAAATGCAGAATATAACGCGGGAGTCATGGTAGAAGACTATGAGCGCAGGGCTGGGCTCGAGGATGGCGCGAGCCTCGAGGGCAGTCAGCCGTCGGCTAGACAGGCCAGAAACAAGCCACCAACCTTGTCGATCTCTCAGTGCCAAGTTCTTTCAAGCCTTCTTGCCAAGCATTCTCGGCACCAGGAAACGAGTCGACTGGACGATTTACGATCAGAATCCACTCCCAAGAACAACCAGAATTTTTCGCAACAACTGCTGCACGTCATGGTGTTGATCCGGCGTGGCTCCACTGCTGGATGGCTTGACTGCGGACGACAATATCTTGACACGGCAGGTCGTCTCGTGTTGCTGATGACCTCACACGCGGGGGCAGGCATGGAATTTGGAAAGCTGACTGGAGAGGAGCTTACGACAGCTAATGACAGACTTCGGCTACCGTGAAGTCTAAGCAAATACCATTCGCGTCGTATTTCACCAACTGCATAATCTGTGCCGGAACTCGGAGCTCACTTCGGATGATCACTCTGCAAAGCAGGCTTTCGGTACGTCCAGCGTGAATCTGGCATTGTAGGGTATGCTCTCCTACAGTCGGTATCTTCACATGAAAATCACGCCACTCGCAGGACATTGTACGCTTACACGCGGCGCACAGCTTGGAGTCTCGTGTCTGCTATACAATGCTGTTCAAGCCATCTGAGAACGCCGCAGAGTTGATGAAATGGCCTTTGGAGTATGGCAAAGTCACGACCTCTTCATCACTACTGCGTAAGTCCAGCTGCCCAAAGGCATGAGATATGGCACGCTCATTCTTGCCAGTAATCACCATACCATGTCGCATCTGCTGGCCTCTGCCTCCATCGACCGTATCCTCGAGGCTCTGGAATACCTGGTCGTTACTAACAGGCCCATTGTCCATTGTTTCGGACTCTGGTAACGAGGTGCTCTCCTCTCGGATCTCCTTTCGAAGAGTGTCGACCTGCTTCTTGAAAACTCTCCAAAGCTGGTATTTCTCCAGATCATCGTCGTATTTAGCGGTCTTACCCGCCTCATGAGCGATGTACAGCAGACTGGCCACGAAAGCTTCCTGCAGAAAGGCGAAGGAGAAGCCATCCGTGATGGATGCCATTGCCGGGCAAAGCCGATCCGGAAATTTTATATCCGGCTTGTGGGCGATCTTCCGCTGCCAATATTGACAATAAAGCGTGCGTTCGTGTTCGTTCGGCAGGGGGAACAAGTACTTCCGGTCGAATCTGCTTGGTCTGGAGGTCAAGCCAGGATCAAGTCTGTCCAGATAATTGGTGGACCCGACCACAAAAAGCCCGCTGTTGTCTTCAAGCCCATCCATCTGGTTGAAGAAGTAGCTTCTCGTCTGTGGCGTTACGATCGTCTCAATGTCCTCCAGAATCAGCATGCAAGGCGCCAAGTTTCGCGCCTGCCGGAAGACATCATTGATATTGTAAGTATACTTGGCCGACCTCACGTAGAGCGTTGGAATTGGATGCTTCCGATCTAGAAGCAAAGTTCGCATCAAGGCCTTAATGGATATCGTCTTGCCATTTCCTGGTGGTCCATGGAAGAGAAGGCCTCGTTTCCAAGGCACTCCAAGATCATCGTATACGTCCTTGGAGTCAAAGAACTTTTCAGCTGTCTGACTGATCTCCTTCTTCATGCCTTCGTCCAAGATGACCTTGTCCCAACTCGACTTCTTAACTTCCTGGAAAAGCTTCTTATCTTGAAACCAATAATTGTCGTAGACCCAGACAACGCCGTCCAAGAGCCAGCTGCCGACCTGTCAAAGCCATCAGCATCTTCCTCGTCAGCTTTCCTCACCACACACTTACAGCTTTGATCAGTTCATCGGTAATTCTCGATGGCCCAAATGGATGCTCCGAGCCTTTCCTCTCCTTGAGCACGTACTGCAGGCCGTTGACGTAGTACAGCATGAAGTCTTCGTTGTTCCATTTGTAGTGATATTTGGCGAAGTGCACCGCCTCAGCAACAGCACCGGTGCGAGTGGCAGCTGATGGCCCTACATATCCTCTCCAAGCTGCATAGGAGTCGGTTTCCTTGTCGAGCTCGTACGTAGCATGGCCTGATCCGGCAAACGCAAGCAAAGGGACATTGTTTTGTGGAATGGTTGTCACAATCAGGTCTGGGTGTGCTGCGCGAAGGGCGGTCAGATATTGAAGGTCGTGATCAGCCGTCTTCGCGGAGGTCAATTCCAGGACATCGTCAAAGAGCTGGTGCTGGCTACTAGAGTCGAGCGTCTTCAGTGGCATGCTGGAACCCATGTGGTAATACAAGAGCGCCGGTCTCTTGGGGTACTCGTTCTCGTGGATAGAAGCTGTAGCCAGGAGCTGTGGCGAGGTGAGGGCAAGCAAGCCAGAAGCGGGTGACGAGCAAAGGAATTTCAAAGGACCGTGATACTATGCGAAGCAGGGAGAAGCTTCGAATACCTACAGAGTGCGAAATGAGGCAGTGCAGCCACGTCCTGATTCCCGAAGACGTCGATGGTGCCTGGAAGGATCAAAATCAGTCACAGAAGGAGGCCTCGGAGTTCTTGGCGAAGTGGTGGGGCCGCGGGATGCATGCACAATTCCCTTCCATCACAACAGCCATCAACATCCACCAATATCCACCTTTTGGAGGATAATGGCCAGCTTTGTCTACCTCACCGACCAGGATCGTTGTCCGAGGTCTTGGTGTCGTCTTGACACCGCCGAAACCACCGGTCGTTCCACAATGGTTTCCTGGCAGCAATTTGTAGAGAAAGAAGAAAATCATTGCTCTGCCATCTCCAACGCACTTTCGAGCATCGTTGCGCTACTGCACAGGCTTCCGCTCATAGACTACATTGTTGACAAGACTTCCTAGACCGTGGCTCATAACAATCCTCACATCATCACCATCGCGCAAGAGCACTGGCGGATCTTTACTGACTCCGATACCATGCGGTGTTCCCGTCATGATCACAGTCCCGGCACTCAATGTGGTTCCCTGGCTCAAATACGACACGATCTCGGGTATCGAGAAGATCATATCGTCTGTCTGGCCGTGCTGCATGACCTCTCCGTTGAGCGTCGTCTTCAGCTCGATGACTTTAGGATCTGGAATTCTCTTCGTAGAGACCATGCAAGGCCCCATGGGAGCAAACCCATCGAAGCCTTTGCCATACCCCCATTGAGTGTTTCCACCGGCGAATTGCCACTTTCGTGCCGTTACATCGTTCGAACACATGTAGCCCAGAACATACTTCATGGCGTGCTCGACAGATATGTTACGACAATCTTTAGCAATCACGACGGCCAGTTCTGCTTCGTAGTCGGCTTGCTCGTCTGTTGCTTGGTGAGGGATGATCAAAGGCGCATTGGGACTGTTCAGGCATGTCGAAGGCTTGAAGAAGACCGACATATGAGTCGGTAGAGCCAACTTCATCTCTGCTGCATGGTTGCGGTAGTTGAGTCCGATGCAGCGTATCGTTCCAATTTCTTTGCTTGAGATGGGCGGTAGCAAGCGCTTTATGCTCAAGACCCGATCGCCTGGTTCAAGAGAGGGGTCAAGTGGTGAGCTTCCATGAAACACTCTGACTTGCAATGATTGAGATGATGCTAAAGCAGCACCGACTTTACTACGTGTTAGCTGACGCAACGCTTGAGGAGGGCTGGCGAAACTGACCATCTACGTCTGGATCAACGGGCTCTCCTATATATTCTTGCCCATCTTCCAGTGCAACAAAACGAACTAGTCGCTCCCACATCTGACAATTGACAACAGTCATTTTAATTCCAACGCCTTAAATTTGGCATGTACTCACAGGTTGCTCCTCTGTCGATCCGGCGCCTGCCATTATAATCGAACCCAACCCCAAGCGCTTCTCTACAAGTTTGTTAGTATCTCTACAAACACAACGGCTTTCGGATGCTTCAGTTATTCATCAGGTCCGACTTTGGCCGCTGAGTTGGCCGACCCGGGCAGGATCAAAGTCACCGAAACAGCTTTCGACAAAAGTGGAGCATTGGATCTTTTACCTTCACTGGTTAGCACTGATCATCAATGCTCCCCGATAGCAGATATGGCACTCAGGATTCAACATGAGTCTCAAACAGCAGTCTCTCGACAAAGATGTCTCCGTTGACTTCGACGCTGCTGATGCTGAGTCTGAGCTCACGATCGATGCTGCGGCCGAGAAAATACTCGTCAGCAAGCTTGATTCATGGCTTTCTCCCATGATGATTCTGGTATTCTTGGTTTCGTACCTGGACCGAAGTAATATCGGTAGGAGATCACGTACCACATAACGCCAGTGTAAAACCTTGTATACGAGCTGTACTAGTTTCGCCATTTCAGATGTGCCTCATGTTGAGCGCTGAGTGTCTCGAGTCGATAGGAGCAACCCAGGGTTTGAAGTGCAACCATCCTTGTTGCTGGACTCGGCATGACCACGTTCTCTCCGAGACATCGCAGGTGATCAGGAAAGAGGCCACTCAACTATGTTATAAGAAAAGGGGGATTGGGCGCCTGCACCTGAGGGAGGTTCAAGAGCCAGACGAGTGTTGGCAGCTCATTAGGATTCAAGCAGACAGGGCGAGCTACTTACCTCCACCCAACAGGACCTCACACACACACAACATGACACAATTGGAAGCAGATATGCAACGAGACAGTGATCAATGGTTAAACGGCTGAGTCTCATCTTTTTGATGAAGCCTCCATTGTAGTGATCTTGCTCATGCGTGAAAAAGCTCCGATAGGCCACATCTGTCTCGACTCTATCTATGAGAGTCTACAAAGCCTTGCTCTTTTTGCGCCAGTTCCATGCTCCACGTTCAGATGACATAAACCAAAGCCTTATCCTTCATGACAGCATTTACCTCACGATACCCTCGAATCGGTTCTTGTACCACTTGATGGTCTCTTGCTGGTCGATACGGTGGGAAGCGCCGATTCTGGACTTGCAGCGTCTACGCTTGGCAACACGCTCACCTGGGCGGGTCCTACGATCATTATCAGTATCCAGTATCCTACTCCCACGGATTCAGAAAATGTTACGCACATGCAGCAGTAGAAGTCCATGCCGTAGATACCAATGGCTGGGTCATACTTGATACCAAGATCGATGTGCTCAGAGATACCGAAACCGAAGTTGCCAGTCTCCGAGAAATTGCGCTTGCGGAGCTCGTACTCCTTGACCTTGAGGCCACGCTCGAGAATTTCCTCGGCCTTTGGGCCACGGACGGTGACGTGAACGGCGATCTTCTCGTTACGACGAATACCGAAGGTACGGACGGTGTAGCGGGCCTTGCCTGTGAACATGTCCCATGTCAGTCTCTTGTTCCTCTGCGTGCCTGTTGCCCAGCTATGCTTCTCATTCTTTGGACGTGGTGATACGCACTGTAGACTGGAGTCTGACCGCTAAGCTGCTCGAGCACCTTGGCGGCACGAGTAAGTCTGTCACCAGACTCGCCGACGGAGATGTTGAGGACGAGCTTTTGGATGCGGAGCTCGCGCATTGGGTTGGCGGACTTGTCGCTACCGCCCTGGGTGGAGTTCTCGCCGCGTGCCTGGTGGAAGGAGTTTTGTTAGCCATTGCTCCAGTGTCCATAAGTGCGCTGTTCTGTGTCGCGAATCGATGGTGCAGGTCTTGGTGGTAGCGGTGATATCGATATATGCGGGAGTCACTCACCATTGTGCTGGTGATCTGTCACGTCCTGGCTCGATGGCTGTTCGTTAGTAAAGTGCGACGTCGACGACGTTCAAGCGCAAGCTATGTCGAAGGTCAAATTCGCAGGTGTTGGTTCGGTGGTTCGGCGCGCCAAGCCCGGCATCTAGTCACGTGTCTGCTCGAAGCTCTTTTGCGATGCCAAAAGTTCACCGCACGCGACAACGACATCTACACCTCACTCACAAGCCGCACCAGCCTATACACATTTCGCAGCACAATTTTGGCGCGCATTGACTCTGGACAAATCGTAGCTGGACCTTGAGTTGCGCTCAGGCGCGCAGTACCGGCAACATGGCATCGTCGCAGAAGCAGGGCAAGATGGTAAGTCTCACCACAACTCCAAACTACAACGAGTCCTTCGTTGACAGAGACAGCTCGCTGATATGATGAATAGCAAGGTTTCGTGAGTCCTCTCCTCAATCACTCCAACAATAACAATGTACTCATGCATGTTTAGGTCAACTATCGAATGCGCGCGACCATGAACGATGGCAGACAGCTCGTGGGCCAAATGCTCGCCTTTGACAAGGTATGGAGCCCACAGAGTTCTCAAGGACATCATATATTGACTCTACACAGCACATGAACCTCGTACTAGCCGACTGCGAAGAATTTCGAAAGGTGAAAAGAAAGGCCAAAGCGAGCGGCGCACCAGGCGCACAAACCGGCGGCCAAATGATCGAGGCGGAAGAAAAGCGATCGCTAGGTCTTGCAATCGTCCGCGGCGCACACATCGTCTCATGCTCAGTAGACGGCCCACCACCTGCGGATCCCGCAGCACGACTCGGACAGAGCGCACCTGGAGGAGCTGTGCCAGCAATGCAGGCGGGACCAGGTATCGCGAAACCGGCAGGAAGAGGCGCAGGAATTGGACTTCAAGGTCCAGCGGCAGGTGTCGGAGGTCCTGGTTTCCCAGGAGCAGGCTTTCCAGGAGGGCCTCCTGCAGGCTTCCCTGGCAGAGGAGGACCTGGCTTTCCACCGCCAGGAGGTTTCCCAGGTGGTCCACCTCCTGGATTTGCTCCTCCAGGCTTTCAACCTCCCCCGGGCGGCCGTGGTTTCCAGCCTCCACCGGGTGGATTTCCGGGCAGGTAAATGGATGGTGGGAAAGAGGATACGAAGACAGATTGAGCAGCTCTCGTGCTGAGACGCCACGTGTCGCCGCGAACAAGCTCTGGACTCTCCCAATGCTCCGAATGCTTGGGTCGCATCTAGGATATGGATATGCGGACCGAGAGCAAGTCCGAGACTGGAGACATGCAAGCACGACTTGCAGCACTACCCCACAAGCATAGCGACGGCGTTGAAGGAGGATAGGTATGACTTAAAATGAGAAAGCCGCAAAGGCGAGAAGGAGGCCAAGATCATTCATATTCTCCATTCCTGCTGACGATTGACTCTAACATTCGCGCTGTGGTCTAACTCTCTCTCATAATGCATGCAATCATTACTTCTTCCCAGGTCATCACTGTCTTCGCACGCAAGAAGGGTATTAGAACGCTGCAACGCGCGCACAACAGGAAAAAAAAAGACAAGAACAGCACATCTCGTCTCCTCTCTCCATCTTCAAAGCATCAATGCACCAGCAACAACACCACCCAGCACCGCCGCACCGATTCGACCAGTCACCATCGCCCCTCCCGCACTACTCGTCTCCGAAGCAGTAACCGTCGGAGTTCCAACACTTTTCGTCCGACTTGTCGTCTCAGTCGTCTGCGCCGCCGCAAGCGTACTACTCGTACTCGAAGTTATCGGAGCCAATTCCACAATCTGACCGTTTGCCACAAACCCTGAGCTCGCTGCTGTCACAATCACGCCTCCGACTAATGCGTCACCACCTCCGACGGTCAATACGTGGCCGGCTACGTCGTAGGCGTTGGAGAGGTAGGTTACTTCGTAGGAACCTGCGCCGGGTACTGTGAAGACGCCGGTTTCGGCTGAGGTTAGGAGGGCGGAGGTGGGTGTGCCGTCTTGGCGGCGGACGAGTTGAGCGGGGTTGTTTGGTACTGTGAGGGGAGGTGGGTCAGTATGGGGATTGTGGTGGTGATGTTGTGATCCAGAGCTCTGTCGGTTGCGTTTTGGAGTTTCATTTTTGCGATTCTCTGAGAAAATCTTCGCGGTGCAAAGGGGGTTTTCTGCTCTTTCCTTGACAGTTCTGCTCTGCTGCTGTCGTCTTTGCGTTAGAAGAAAGAAAGTAGCTTACCTGCTGCCACTGCATTGAGCAGAGCGAATGCGACTGAGCTGTAGATCATCTGCATTCTGTCGAAGCTGTGTGTGATAGCGCGTTCCTGTTCTTTCCAATGCAATGTCTAATCGGATCCTCTGTGCCCAATGTTTCTATCGTCTGCTCTATGTTCAATGCAAAGCCGTGAAGTGTGCCGATGAAGCGAATGTCCAAAACCTCGGTGAGCTCACCAATGGGTCTATAAAGCGCACAGCTCACATGTTATACTTTTGCGCTATGTACTCGCACGGGCACATGCAGGTCGTGCATTGGCAGATCTGTGTACAACTCCGCTCTCACTTGGTGATACACGTGAAAGCGTCGACTGTTCACGGCATAGTGTACCCCTCTAGGTGGCTGGGATAGCTCAGATCTGCATGTGCCGTCTCCCGCAGTCTGCGATAAGACATTGCGGCAATTGAGGTAGAAGATGCTGACCGTCAAGATCGGTTGTTATGGCTGGGATATATGGTAGGACAGGTACAGAAACAGGAACAGAAACGTTGGTGAAGCATATGTTGTGCTTTTGCAGGGAGAAATCGCAGGCTATAGAGAGACGTGAAGTGTAAGGCGGCATGGGTGCTTGTTCGTGAAGCCGAGCCGAAACGTCTGTGCACTCACTATGTTTTGTGAAAGTCAAACTCTGACCAGACTGACCTCTTCCTCTGCAACGACACCTGCTAGGAGGCTGGAGAAGACGCTGATGAGCCGTCATCGCCGTGTGATCTTGAGTCGCAAGAGCATCATCAGAAAGCTCTCAAGGAGACGATCGCCATCTCCTTGGTGAAGGAGCTTAGGATAGTCAAGAATGTCCATGTTCGTTCTACAATAAGAGAAGTATTCTGCTGACCGAGCCTCCTATTCTACCTGCTATGCTCCTTAATAATGAGTCGTGCCCTCCAGTCGATGCTGTAGCTCTAATGCTACTCCGTACTCCATTCCATGAATCTATACCGTCGCCTCGATACGAACACTGGCACTGCAAGCACTAGTCGCCCTCATATTCTGCATCGGAAGGGATCTCGAAGCTGGCTTGCCATCCAAACCCGTGGTCCAGCTCATCCGTAGGGTCATATTCCGTCCGCGAAATGTTGCGAGCTAGCTTAAAGCACCGCATATTCTGATAGAGATCTTCGATTGGGTAGTATCCCGTCCTCCAGTACAGGTACCGGTCACCGGCGGTATCACGCACTGTAATCCCACGCCTATTCTCGATGGCATCAATATTGATCTGCTCGTAGTGCTCAACATCGATATTGAGAACAGGAGGCTGGAAGGCAAGCATGCGTCGCCAGCTGGCCTTCGGTCTCATCAGAGCCTTCTGGCGAGCTTGCAGGTGCTGGCTCGTACTTTCACCAGTTCTGCCTTTCATACGGCTTGATCTCTGAAATTTTTCTGCGAGACGTCTCGCGCGGCGCAGAAGCGGGTTCTCAAGGACTTGGATGGCGTTTTTGCACTCGCCGCGCTTCTCGTAGAAGTGTTCGCCTCGTGGCTCTACCGGGTTCGGAAGTGGCCTGAAGTAGAGAGCTTGTTGGAGTCGTTGTGATGAGTCGATCATATTCTTCCACTCCTTGCAGACTCGCATCGCATTGACAAGGATGTGTTCGACTCTCAGGTTAAGCAAAATTGTCTCAAACAGCTCTCCCGTGCTGAAGACAGCTTGCGCAGAAGTAGGCTTCTCTGGCTCATCTGTGGTAGAGGCCGGCGGTTTAGAAAGCGAGGTCGGCTGCGCAGCCTTCGAGTCGCACCTTGGAGGTGGAGGAACGAGTGCTTGCTTTGGTGCAACATCTTCCGGCGTTGAGATGGTTCCAGCGATGCTTCCAGCACTGGAACTGATTGAGTTCGACTCTATCGTCGCTCCAGCACTTTCCATGGCCAGGGCGGTGGTTGACAAGGACGGTAAGACCGTGCTGGACTTCGAGGCTGAATCGTCCAGCGCAAACTTCTGGATGAAATTTCGTTGTAATCGAAGAATACGTTTGTACCTTTCGGCTTGCAACGATTGCACCGTGTCTTCGGTGGCCATGGTCGTCGTCGTCATGACTCGAGTGGAATAAGACGAACCTGTCTGTCGCGAAGTTTTGGAAGTTGAGTTGAAGGTGGAATAGCTAAGGTACCTAAGAGAGAAAGTGATGGCGATAAATGCTTACCTCCTTGGTCCTGCTAATCACAGGCTTCAAATTAGTCACAATCAACATGTGAAATGCTATGCGGACACAGCTCGTGTAAGGCCAGAGCACAATATGGTACCAATCAGGTTGTGCACCCAACCCTCACATCAAAGTGATCCAAGCATCACTGCACTGTCACACTGTCACAGGCCAACGTCCATCTCCGCCCCTTCTTCTCAATTCAACCCCCTCCGCACCACAACCCTCCTCACATCATCCGCAACCTCAACATGCTCCAAAAACAACATCTCATCCGGCTCAAGCGCAGACGGAAACCTATTATCAACAGGTAAATCCAGATGCTCAAACCTCACATACCCGTTCTTAGCAGTCGCATACATAACCTCACCACAACTTCGAAACCGTACGGTGCGCATCGGAGGCTGAAAAACGAGCATGCGTCGCCAACTCCCTTCCTCCAAAGCTGGATCTCCAGACACGACTCCATGCAAGTATCGCATCAAAGCGTTCCGGGTTTTGTACAGAAGTGGGTTGACCTGGACGATGACTTGGCGATCGCTGGTTTTTTCGAGGAAGCGGGAGAGGTTGTAGTCGAAACGGACTGATGGGCCTGGGAGGGGGCGGAAGAAGAGAGCTTGTTGGAGTCGAGCTGAGTTGTCGATGAGGTTCTTCCAATGGCGGGAAACTCGTGTTGCGTTGATTAGGGTGTCTTTGATTGGTAGCTGGAGGAGAATGTTTTCGAATAGCTAGCTCGGTTACATCGAAGACTCGTTGTCTCGCTCGATTGATTGCTGTCATGGAAGATCGGTCAATATGTTTGCGTGGACTTATTCTATGAGTTTTTTTCTATCGTACCATTCTGGCGCTCCTTCGCTCGAGTGATTGCCATTATGTGGGTGAGTGCTTTAATTCTCGATTGAAGCCTTCTCGGGTTCGTCTTGGGAGTTTGTTGCATGTCTCGCCGTGATGAAAACGCGATAACACTCGTGGGAGCTACCGTCCTTGCATCAAATTTGTGTCAGAGCTGCGTGAAGCTAGCAGCGCAGAGTAGGTACCTTATCGGATGGTGCAGTGTTTGTGTCGTCCTGCGTTGCAATCGCCCATGCAGGAACCAGATGAGCTTCGATATTAGTTTGGACAAATGGGGAGCTGGAGGCTGAGAGCGGTCCCCTGCATTAATCACATATCAGGCGCGAGCCCCAGAAGCAGTCCGTAATCATAACTTTCATAGATATGTACCTACCCATTTGTACCGTCCCCAGGTCCAACGCCATAATTCTCACTCTCGCTCACCGATCTCATGCCCTTTGAGAGGGAAAGCTGGGTATCACAAGGTAATCTAGCCGAATCGTTATCTAGTTTAGTGCTGTGCCGGCCGACCAGAGAAAAAGAAAGAATGCATCCCGGTCGTGAGTGCTCAGTCACATCGCGAGTATCCCGATCCAATAATCTCGTGTTGAACTCCTTCCCTATGCAGTTCTAATTGTCAACGCCAATGCGCACATTATGCTCGCCTGGAGGGATGATGGCCTCAGCTTTCTTGCCCTGCAGGCCTGGTAGCTCTGCAACGGCAGCCTCGATTATTGAGAGAGCCTTGCGAATCTGGTCTTCGCTGATCACGAGTGGTGGTGCGAGTCTGATGATGTTCTGGTGAGTCGGCTTGGCGAGGAGGCCTTTCTCCTTCATGAGCATGCAAAGATCCCAGGCGCTGTGGCCATTCGTCTTCGACTCGTCGATGACGATGGCATTCAGAAGACCCTTTCCGCGGACGAGAGTGATCATAGAGTATCGGCTCATGATGTCCTGGATGCCGTCACGGAAGCGTTGGCCAAGAGTCTGAGCTCGCTGCGTGAGCTGCTCTTCCTCCACAATCTCAAGAGCCTTGATCGCTACAGCACTTCCAAGAGGGTTGCCGCCGTATGTGCTGCCGTGAGTTCCGGGCTCAACAGTGAGCAGAACTTCCTTCGAGCCGAGCACGCAGGAGACTGGGTACATGCCGCCACTGATGGCCTTGCCAAGGAGAACAAGGTCTGGCTTGATGCCAGACCACTCATGGCAGAGCATCTTGCCTGTTCGTGCAATACCGGTCTGGATTTCATCACAGATGAGCAGGACGTTGTGCTTGGTGCAGAGTTCCCGCACTCTCTTCAGGTAGCTGTCGTCTGGCACCACGATACCTGCTTCGCCTTGGATTGGCTCCACGAGGAATGCAGCAGTCTCCTTGCCGTGCTTCTCGAAAAGCTGCTCCACTGCATCGGCGTCACCGAATGGGATAGGCTTGCCCGTCGATGGGTTGACCGAGCCAACATTTGGCAAGTATGGGCCGTAGTTGTCTCTGCTTTCTGGGTCTGTGGACATGGTGATCGCAGCAAATGTCCTGCCATGGAAGTTCTCTTGCACGCTGAATACCCAAGCCTTATCCTGTGGGATCTTCTTGACCTTGTAGCCCCACTTCCTTGCAATCTTGACTGCCGTTTCGACTGCCTCGGCACCAGTGTTCATTGGCAGCACCATATCGAAGCCCATCATGCTGGTGATCTTCTCTGCAAACTTAGGGAAGACATCGTTGTAGAATGCTCGGCTGGAAAGTGTCACTCGGCTGGCCTGCTCTACCAATGCCTGAATGAGTTCGGGGTGGCAATGACCTTGGTTCACTGCTGAGTATGCAGAGAGGAAATCGAGGTATTCTTTTCCTTCTGGATCCCACACGAGACAGCCCTGTGCTCTTGCAAAGACGATTGGAAGTGGGTGGTAGTTGTGGGCGGCGTATGCCTGCTCGGCAGACATAGCCTGTTCTGAAGATGCGGCGTGGTAGTTGTCCATCTTGGCTGCTGGGGTAAAAGAAGTGGCTTTTGCGTTCAATGCACCGTTCGTCTCGACGTGTCCGTTCGTGTGTTCGCTGATCGCTATTGGAGCCATGTTGGGCAATATCGCTGTATAGGCCTGTCTAAGGGTCTGGCTTGCTAGAACGAAAGTGAGTCGTCTGTCAGCGGTTCAGGCAGACGTTTGCAGAGGAAGTTTGCAGGAATATCGCAAAGGAAGGAAATATGGACAAAGAAGTGTGCTCTCGCCTCGTTAGACTTTCCGTGGTGGCCAGCATTCCAAAGATTATTGAACCCCGCCGAGACTCGAAAGATGCTGGGCCGAGATCCACCTGGCTGTGCCTCCTCCGCCTGTTCCTGCTCATAGGGATCGGTGGGGATACAGCATAGCGCTAAGTGCAGGTGGAAGAGATCACTGGGTGTATACTTGCACTTAGAGGGATAGCCTGGATGAGAATCTTATCACATGGCACGGAAGAGGGACCGGCTAAGGACGGTTGTTGGACGAAACCACATTACCTTACGTAACTCTACCATTGGCTACGGGGTCGAGGCTTGATTTCGGTGCATGATCGGTGGTATCATGGTATGCCGTGTTGTTGCCAAGTGAAGTCATATGCGTGTCAAGATATCACATGCACTTTGGAAGTCCGCTGTCTCCTCGTGCACGTGTGCAGGCGGCCTCCTCGGTGCATGACAAACAGTTTGCAAAGTCAAAGTCAATAAGAACTCACAAGTTGAAACAAGCCCATATCGAGACAGATTGATGTCCTGTAAACCATTCAATTCTTTCTTATCGTATCAAGCGCTCAATCTCAACGCTGGCGGGTACGCAATGCCGTGCTTCTGAATCGTCTCTCGTGAGTTTTTAATAATTACAAGCCTTCCATTCGAACAAGCCCTACTGAGTCGTTTCCGGCTGTGGTATTTCGGTCGTCTCTGAACCAGTTCCGTATGCTGCGGCCTGCTTCTCAGCAATCTCTTCGGCCCAAGCTTTCTTCTCTTTCTTCAAGCAATACTTCACATAGGCGATCGTGGCGATGACCCAGATACCGGCCCAAACGAAGGGAGCTGACCAGCCGACCACGTAGGCGGCCTAAGCAAATGTTAGCAAAGATATTTCTCTCCAGACTCAAATTCAGCTCACCTCGTGCTGGATGGTAAAAACAATGATGGTTGTCAAAACAGCCATTCCTTCTGCACCAACAGCCCAGAATATTCCAAGCCGCCTCAACATTGCTCGGAACATGTGCGAAGCCTCGTATCGCCTGTTCAATGCTTCTCTGTACTCTGTGCCGCCACTTCCGTCGACCGCAACAACGTCCTCGATCATGGAATATATTGCGGGCCGAAGTTGCGCACCTTTTGGTATACTGCTCATTCGGCAGGGCGCAGGAACTTCAAAATAGCGCAAGGTATCGACGATGAGCAATTCGGTTCCAAAAGCGTAGAGCATACTTGCTAACGGCATAGCCAAGAGTCTGATTGGAGGATGTTCCGGAACAGTGCCAACGATGAGTTCAATCATAATGACAATCCAACCCAATGAAAGGTTCCAGTGAAACCAGTCCAGATACGCTCTCCTCGCACCAATTACGCGACACGTGCTATCCTTCTTCCACAATCGCCAAAATCGGATGAAATATTCCACAATGGAAACACCTCCAAGCGCGGCCGTGACAATTGAGAAGACTGCATTCGGAGAAAGGTCGGTCAAATACCAGAGACAGAAATAAAGAGCGATGGGCATCGCAATGCAGTCGACCAGTATTAGTGACCAGAAAATGGCGATCGACCATCTCCTTGACCAAAGGTCGTAGTTCAAAGCAGGCGGTTCTGGCTCGAAGTCGGGATGAGTTACAACCATGGTGTCCAGATGCTGTAATGCTTCCAGATCCGGCGCGCTAGGGTCTTGGAATGAAGTACGAGGATCTGTCTCGGTGCCTACGGGCAGAAATTGTGAAGAGCGCCGCCGCGTCATTGTGATAGAAGGACGACCATAGGGTCCATCCCTTCGATTATCGAAGTCTCGACTAGGTCTTCCAGGCCCGTTTCGAGAAGCTGTTGTACTCCTCCTCGGCAGAGCATCCGAGTCTGGTTCTTCTCTATCAAGCTCAGTTCTGTCGAACTGTACGCTCTTTCGGGGTGGGGCTGAAGGTGTGCTGGGCGATGGGGCAGCATCTTTCTCGTTTATATGGGCCTTTTCAGGCATCGACTTGGAAGACTGCGATCGCAAGGTATCGAGCTGTATCGAGGGACGAGTGGTCTCGTGGTATGGAGCGTGATGGCGTTGATCGAAGTCATGATCCTGGATATTCTCTTCCATTTTAAGTATTGGGCGTGATTCTCCTGCTGCGGTGCGCAGACTCCTCTTACGCCGTGTGGTAGTGAAGAAGGGGAGGAAGCAATGCCATTAGCAGTAGATGAGAAATTATGAGGGCGAGAAGACAAGCACAAGGTCGCGCGAAGACGGCGCAGAGGTGAAGGGGCGGGCGAGCCGGAAGCGTCAGTGCTTGGCCGTCCTTGGCCTCTGCGTTCCTTCGAGTAGTGCCAGAGTGACAGGATGACATCAACACCGCTCGTACCTTACTGTAGCTGTAGCTGCACTCTCTTGCTGATCGCTGACGCAGACTGCCCTGCCCTGCCCTGCCCACGCATTCCATTCCATTCGGCTCTAATCATCAACCTGCAGCGCCTCAGGCACCAGCGACACCTTGTTTCAACGCTTATGTTCTCGTCGCGCTGCTGCGCTCTTCACGCCTTGATCGCGTGCGTCGTGTAAGGCCGAAGGTGGACGGTGGAACGGCTCGGATCCGGATGTAGCAAGAAGCCATGCGCATCGACAGAGAAATCCTTGGTATTTTGGGCCAGCTTACCCTGGTGGTCGCTGGTTCTATCAGTGCCGCGCTCTTCACCGAGCTCGAGGAGCTGGCGCGCATTGTTGACATCTCCTACTGCGTGGGCTCAACGAGCTTCGGCATCTCCAAGCCATTCAATTGCCTGTCACGATGCACTGACTTTCCGCAATTCGAGCTGGCAACCACCTGGAACACCGGTCCTTTGCTCAGCGACTCGTGCGGATACATTGCTCTCGATCATGGCAAGAAGCGTGTCATCGTCGCCTTTCGGGGCACATACAGCATCGCCAATACCGTTGTGGATCTGAGCACAGTCCCGCAAAAATATGTGCCATATCCAGGCGAAGAGGATGGCAGCACTCTACAGCACGCATCCCAAGACATCACCAAAGGCATTAGAGGACACGCTCCACGAGGGATAAACGAGCCAAAGTGTCTAAATTGCACAGTCCACATGGGCTTTCATTCATCTTGGCTCAACACTCGCAACCAAATCTTGCCAGACTTGCAGACCCAGCTATCCACTCATCCTCACTACAGACTGACGCTTGTCGGTCACTCCTTGGGAGGCGCAGTTGCTGCTCTTGCCGCTCTGGACCTGCTGGCTCGTGGCTATGATCCGGTCATTACGACCTTCGGGGAGCCACGAGTTGGGAACGCTGGCCTCGCCAAGTATCTTGACGAGCGCTTCAATGTTGGTGGAAAGATTCCCACAGATGACACAAAACTGCGATTTAGACGAGTGACACATGTCGACGACCCAGTCCCGCTGCTCCCTCTGACCGAGTGGGGCTACACTATGCACGCGGGCGAGATATTCATCGCCAAGTCTGATCTGTCACCAGACATTGCAGACTTGCAGCATTGTGAAGGTGACACGGATGGCAAGTGCATTGCTGGTCAGCATTCGACCGTGCACACGAAACGCCATCTTCTCGCATCCGTGAAAGATGAAATCCACGAAGTCACCACCGAGCCATGGGGCATTCCTTCGCGCTACAAGCTTTGGCAGCTCTTTTTCGCGCACCGTGACTACTTCTGGAGATTGGGTCTCTGTGTTCCTGGCGGTGATCCTCTGGGTGGTGGTGGCCAGTATACGCACGAGAAAGAGGACCTGTGAAAGTTAGCATGCCAGTATAGTATTTGTGCACTTGATGAGGTGCTCGGACTCTTGGAAATTTTTCGATGTGAACGGAGCTGATGCATGATTATGAGTTTGCAGGATTGTACGAGACTACGAAAAGCAGCGACTTGGAGATCACATGACATGTCTCTATTTTCAAGCACAATGAAAATGGCTTTGTTGCAGACAAAGACCTTTCGTGGCTTCCCTTGTTACGACTCACCATTGTTGACCGCAGAGTGGAACCTATCTGCGACGATGCCGCTCACTCTCCGAGATTTGAAAGGCTGAAATACACAACCCCTTACACTACCCTTCAGTCGACATATACACAATCCCGCCCGACATGTTCATCTCAACAACACTATTTGCTGCGCTGCTGGCTGGCCACTTCGCATTCGCATATCCACTTTCAGCCCGCCACGAAGCCGAAAATGACAGTGCCGACAACATCGTCACAGTAACTCACGTTGTGAGCCTGACCACATATGTGAATCCTACTACCAAGTCTATCAGGCCTACTAGTACGTTGACCAAGACTCTATACACCACCGTTCAGCCCAAATCGGGTTCCACGAGTGCATCGGCCAGTGCTGATGTGAACCCCATCAACGGTCTTCCAGTACCACCCGCGCCGTCTTCTACTTCGACGACTTCAGTCTCTGTGGACCCGCCAGCACCCATAACGTGGTTTGGCCCTGGTCCTGAGCCACCAAATCCTACGGCGAAGCCATCCATGTATCAGACAAAACCCGTTACGACAAGCTCTAGTAGCACGACTAGTGAGGCGGCTCAGCCCAGCTCGAGCGCGAAGAAGAGCAGCTCAACTCCATTTGAAACAGCCCCCTCTGAGACACCCGTGCTGTCCACTACCAAGACTTTCGAGTACCCCTATCCTACTAAGGAGCCGAAGACCTCTGCAGCCACAAAGGCAACGTCAAGCTCTTCCGGGACATGGGAGTATCCTTATCCAACCAAGGAGTCGAAGACCAAGTCAGCGGACGATGCGAAAAACACCAATTGTGTCTACCCGTATCCCGGATGTGATGAGTAAAGGTTGGCATTGACACTCTGCCCATTTTCAACGTTCCGAGTGCTTTTGTGAGTTTTAGCAAGCTAGCAAGCGAGTTCGTAGCCCTACCTACGTAGCAATGCCAATTTCAAATGGATGTTACAGTGCCCAAAATTACTTTGCTTTTATGATATTCTTTGGTCGATGGCTTTGCCACCCTCTTAACATGATCAAGACATCGGTATAATAGGAAATTTTAACGCCCTTGATCCATCATTCCCGACGAAATGCCGCGAAGGCATAGGGATCTCACAGCTCCAGATCCTGAAAGCCCCCCATGTCCTCCGTTGGCACGACACGAACATATTCTTGTCACCATCTACTCTGACTACCAGCCAGTCGTTGTTGCGGAGTTCCTGCGTGAAGCTGGATTGGAAATTCTGGCCTGCCGACGATCGACTCAGTAAAAAGTCAGTGAATCATGATGCGACTTGACAACGTCACAAAATGGCCTGCCATATCGCACTCTCCTTCGACCGTAAGACATCTCCTTAAGCTCCTGTAACCGAGGACCGCTTTGCTGACAGGAGCTGCTCGGTTCAGGTAAACGTCAGGTCTACCGTCACGTTTCATCAGCTTTCTATCCTCTCCTCAACTCGCCGACGTCTTTTCTTCCTCCTTGTCAGATTTCACAGCAATAAGTTCCCCATCGAACTGCTCTGAGTCTGAGGAGCTTCGGAAACAAGCACGGCAATTCCGGCCAACACGGGTACACGTTCAGGGATCAGGCTACAGTAGAATTACGGCCGACAAGCAGTCAGCATTGAACGTCTCCCCGCATCCGACCAGAGCAGAGAGCTCTCGGGTACAAGTAAGCTGCTGCTTCACGCTAATAACAACCACAACTCTTCACGAAATAGTACTCAACCTCAGCCTGACCACATCCATTCTTAAAAACCCGGGAACGATCGACATCATAATGTCATCCTACAAATTCCTCCTCGCCAGTCTCGTCCCCGTAGGAATCTACACTCTCCACGGCATCAGCCGGAGCAACGGCCTCTTCGCACAACTGACCTCAGCCTGCGAACAAAAAGTCCTAACAGATACCACAACAACATGGCCAACCTGGCTTCAAAAATCCCCCGACATCGCGGGCTTCTTAGTCAGTTTCTTCTGGCCTTTAGCAACAGGTTCCCACGTCACGGGAGCATTAAACAGTCTGGCATTCGTCGGGAGTAGTTTCGCGATGTGGGTTGTCATAATGATTGAAGCGGGTCGAGGAGGGGTGAGGGGGAGTTTGGTTTCGTAGTAAGTTCCAACCTCACACTTTGATCATCTTATTCTACCATCAATCTAACCATGACTTTCTCTCCAACAGTATCACCCTCTACGGCCTCCTCTTCCAACTCGCCGGAATAGGAGTCATAGGCCCAGCCTACCTCGCCCTAAACCTCTACCTCACCCCAAACTCCTCAGACCACCCCAAACGCTCCAACATCGCAATCCCAGACCTCGCATACCTCCGCGCAATCCCCTACGCTCTCCTCACAGGCTCCATCCTCCCAACCTTAGCCGCAACCCTCCCCTCCCCATCCCTAATCTCAACAAACACAAAACTCGCAGCTCTAGTTTTCTGGCAAGCCTTCCCACTCTGGACATCGATATCAACATCCCTCTTCAAATCCTTATTCCCCACCGACCTAGCGTTGCCACCAGATGGGAAAGCCCAACTCCCATTCCTGCGCAAAGCTTATAGTCTCGGCCTCGTATTAGGAGTCATTACCCACATATCCGTCCTAACGATATCTTTGACCTCAGTTCTGGCGCCTTCACTATTCAAATCCGAACTTTTAAAAGATTTGAACTTGGCAAAAATTTTCCTTCCGACTTTGGCGACGGACAGGGTTGAGAGTGTTGGGGAAGGGGCTTTGAAGTTTTTGCAATGGGATTATGCGATCATTTCGCTGGCGCAGATTTTCTGGGCTGTGGCGCAGACGAGGAAGGTTGAGAGGAAGGGGCTGGGGTTTAGTGTGGGGAATGTTTGGGTTGATGCTGTGGTGAGGAGTGCGGTTTTTGGGCCGTTGGGGGCTGCTTTGACGATTGTGTGGGAGAGGGATGAGGTTGTGCTTGGAGAGACGGGTGGGAAAAAGGCGTAGAGATGGGGAAACGTTCCGTCTTATTTTGTAGCGTTGTATTCTTAATCGTAAGGGCAGACTCGGTATAGTTGTCCAAGTCGGCTACAGTTGTCCGAACCAATATCATGTTCCTAGATATCCTCCTCACTATCCTCGTCAATGTCCTCGTCAATGTCTTCGTCAATGTCCTCGTCAATGTCCTCGTCAATGTCCTCGTTACTAGCCTCGCCACTAGCCTCGCCACTATCCTCCTCGAAATCATCCTCAATGTCCTCCTCAATGTCCTCCTCACCACCCTCCTCACCACCCTCCTCACCACCCTCCTCACCACCTTCCTCACCACCCTCCTCACCACCCTCCTCGATATCGTCCTCACAATCCTCCACGTGAACAGTCCGACACAGTGGACAAGTGAGATTGTCATCGAACCATTTCTCCAGACACTGTTCGTGGAACTGATGATTGCATTTCGTTTCCACGATGTAGTCGCCACGCTCGTAGTCATCAAGACACATTGCGCAGGAGGTGTCGCGCAAAGTAAAGCCAGCCCTGGAGTCAATGAAATGCTTCGGCGTCAGAAAAGTCACGATGTCGAGTCCCAGATTTTTGATGATTTCTTTGCCGCTCAGCTTCACACAAACAAATCCATCATCGTCCACTTTCATCGCGCCACGGAAATATTCCACATCAGTGTGACGTGTGTAGCCCAGCTGCAGGCGCAATCTGTTCAATCGACGAAGGTGGGCAACCAAACGTTGTTCGCATTCTTTAAGACCGTCGGCTCTAGGGTCTAGTCCTGTCAAGGTTTCGTTTTCCAGGGCAAGTCTTGTGCCAAGGCAGTAAGAGCAAAGCATCTTCGGGGGTGTGTGCTGATGTAGCCAGTTTACAGCTGAGTCTGGATCGTCTGAAGGTTCGATTTCCAGTTCCATGTCTGAAGGATGGAGTAATACATATCCATCGCGACAGTACTCGGAATCGCATTTGTCGCCTGTAAGCAGGTGGAATACAGCTTTTTGCGAGGCTCGCATATCGACGCTATGTTCTCTGAGGTCCACACTGCTCAAGGGTTGGGCAAGATGGTCCAAGTATCGAAGGGGATCATCGCTGGTGGTGCTGCGATCTTGGGGAACGAATGTCATATATAGCGCGTACTCCATGACTCTCGCCGCCAGCGGGTGGGCTTGGTCCATCACATCAACAACAAGCACCTCAGATGGACGTCCGCTGTAGGCATATTCTAGAGTCTCAGGTGTATCAACCAACCTGTATGAGTCTGCTTGTTGTTTTTGAGCCTCCGGAATAGTGATCACAGCTGCATTTGGCTGAGCTTTGACGCCACATACCAGCAGGAGACGAGGTGAGGCCATGCTGCCATTACATGGTCGCATGAGAATCACGTTTCCTCTAGTGAGAGCAGTTTCAGACAGCTCGTCGGTCCAGCTTGAGGCTTCGGACTCGGCGGCTGCTGCTATTTCAGGGTCTTCATTTGCCTGGGCTTGGTCTTGGTCTTGTTCGCTCTGCTCGTCGTCGTTCGATTCAAGCCCGTCTGGCTGCGGATAGGCGTCGTTGTCTTTGAATCGAAGTGCAGCTGCGAGTAGTGCAGCAAGCAGTCTCACGAGCATTTTCGCAACAAAGTTGGCCATATTGATTGTCGTTCGGAGTTGTAGTGGATTCTTTCGTGGTGTAGTAGTATGGCAGTAAATGTGTAGAGATGTGAAGATTCTCGAGTGCAAGGCAAGTGATACATATAGTCGGTTGATGTCCTCAGTCATGAAGTCCTCATGTTCACGTCCTCAGTCCTCATGTCGATGCTTGGCGTGAGATTACCAGCTACTCATCTTGTGGATCGTGTTTCCAACCTTCGGCGGCTCGCCCACAAGCTTTTGTGGGCCATAATCCAGAGAACGCCAGCCAGAGTTGGAGCGCTCCAAGTTGACAGGTCAGCGAACAGCGTCCGCAAGTCAACTCCTGGATCCAGTAGGGAGATGGTGAAAGGGTCTTTGCAAATTCACTTCTGCGGTAGCTTTCGATGTCTCCCGATCCGATAGCTCATGGTAAGCCGGTGGTGCTGCCACTTCTTCACTTGAGTAGACCGGTGGAGGTGCATCTTCATGTTCGTACTTTGGCGGCTCATCGACGTATGCACTTCCAATCCCTGCTTCGACATCGATATCAGTCGCATTAAACTCATCATCCTTGAGGGCCTCTCGATGCTTTCGTATCGATTCCTTGATCATAAGTCCGGCGAAAATCAGGACTCCAACCGCCATGAGGGCGAGTACTGCCCATGCCACTCCTCTGACGACTTGGACAAAGACCTGGTTGAAAAGGCGGTCACTGGAGAAAAATCGGGCATAGCTGTGATGGTCATCCACAAGGAGGAGATTCGAAGCCATATTTCTGCTTCTCATCAGCTTCGATGCCAACGCTCAAGCGAACCGCGGTATTCTCACCTGATTTTGCCAAAATCAATGAGTCCGGCTTTCCACTCCAACGTGACACTGTAATAAGAAGTCATCTGCCTCAAATGTGAAAAAAGGACCGTTTCTGCAGCACGTCAGGCGGACAGCTCTGCAGTAGTTATGTCATGTGCCCTCAAGCTTCCAGCCCGGCTGTGCAGCTTCCTACAGCAGCTGAGCAGCCGCAGAAATCCTTCCGAAGTTCATGGCGACTGGCAGTGCAACGACGATACGATAGCATACGAATAACGGGCGGCATTGTTGGATGGACGCAAGCATCCCGCGCCGCCAGGCGTAAGGGTCAAGTGGATGGAATTCTTTGCATGAAAGCGGCGCATTCCAGCGATGGAGAACCGACGCTTTCGACTCCGAAGAAGGGATCCTGGAGAACAGGTATTGTCGCAGGGGTCGGCACCAGGTCCGACGCATTTCGGACATGATTGAGATGGTACAATTGCAGGAGTCTTCATGTGAAGATGAAAAGTGATGAGGAAGAAGTGCTGTGAATTCCGAAAGGGAGGGAAATTGCCAATCACTGTCTCAGCGTCAGACACCCTGGAAAGGTCCTGAGCCGCTGAGACAATTGGCCCTCGGACCAGACCACCAGGCTACAGGCTACAGTACCTTCTCCAACACGATCAAACTGCTGATAATTGCTGTCACGGAACGAGTAACGAGTCCCCTGTCCCCAAGTATATCAAAGGAACAACGTGGAGATGTGGAGGAGAAACACTGGAGAAGAGACTCGTCTTCAATCGTACTCGTAACGGCATTGCTGCAAATGCTCTGCAACATCCATAACTGATACCATCGTTATCTGTCTATGTCCTTACGCCATGCCATGAAGCAACGCAAGCTATGCTGCAGAATTCTGGGTATCTCTCGCTTGCTATGATATTGCAATGCAATCAAGCAGTAGCTGGGTGTACTCATCTGTGTCCCTCTTGACGAGCTGTCCCGCAGCTGAGGTCTCGATGCAGATGCAGGCACGATCTCTTTCCTTGGCATGTTCGGAGCCTTCACCAGCGGGGCCGGATCTTGGTTGAATTCGCCATCAAACCCGAACTCCACTATGATGGGAATGTCTTGTTTCTCGGCAGATTGAAGTAGTCTGGTGGGAGCGACTCTGCTGAGATCTTGGCGAGTTTGCCCAGAACAGTCAGCAGGCCGGTCGATCCTTGGGTCAATGTGGCCTGGGCGACAGTGTTGCGCCTCCCAACAGTGATGGTAAAGACATTCTTCAACTTGCCCTCCTTCCCTAGATCGTTGGCCCACTTGAAGATCACTTCGTCTTCACGATCGTCTCCAGCAACCATCATGAAGTCAGGTCTTGAGAGTCCCTTGGTGCGCTCGCAAATGGTGTCGTAGACATGGGTCGCAGCGGTGCCTTTGCTGAAGTCCTCTTGCTCAATGAGGACAGCGTTCTTAATTGGCACTGCGTGGATCTTCATGGACTTGCAAGCACCATTGATCTGGTCTGCGCACTCTCCCGCAAAGCGAAGCGCAGATTCCTGGTCTGCGCACTTCTCGTATCGGAAGAGCAAGCTGCAGTGGCGCTCCTCGAGATATGAGCCCTCAAGCCGGTCAGAGTAATATTGAAGAATATTCTTGGTCTGCTCCTTCCATTCGGCCACCTTGTCGAGATCTGTGAAGGGAGTCCACTCCATGTTCTGAGCACCGAACTCACGCACGAAGCATCCATTCTCTGCGATCAGACCAGCCTTGGGCAGAGTCCGGAAGTGATTTTCCAGCTCCTCTGGCTTGTGTCCTGACATAACATAAACGACGTTCTTGGGGTCGGTCATAAGGTTATTGAGTGTCTCCACGAGACGAGCTGGAGATCCAAGTGGGATACCATAGTGGGTCTTGTGAGGAGCCAGAGTACCCTCGTAGTCGATGATGAAAAGCCTGCTTTCGGAAATCTTGTACTGCTCAGCAAGCTGCGAGACGTTCAATCGTGGCACTGATGCCGATGCACGTTGATGGTGCTCTTCGTATACGCGGTCAAGCTCTTTACTGAGCTGACGTTGCCAGTGTGCGCCAGTCTGTGTCATTACAGTGTGGTGGAGGCGCTCCCACTGCGCTTTCTTCTTCCCCTCGTCCATCTCCAGTGCTTGCTTGATTGCTTCCGCCATACCAGAAAAGTCCCAAGGGTTGATAGAGAGGAAATCGTGGCCAAGAGCCGCCGCGCTGCCGGTGAACTCGCTCAGGATCAGAGGGCCGTACTTCTTAATACCACTTCTGCCGTCCTGGCAATAGATAAACTCGTGGGCCGTCAAGTTCATGCCGTCACGCAAGGCAGAGATCATCAAAGCATCAGCTACTGTCAGCAGCGCCACATACTGAGCAAATGCTATGTCCTGCTTCAGGAAGACCAAGGGCTGATGAGCAAGGGTGGAGTGAACAGAATCTATTCTGTTCTGAATGTCTGAGACTGTGGTGAGAAGCTCCGACTGCTCGTTGGTAGAGGTGGCGACTTGAATGAGGACCACGTCTTCGCGCCACTCGGGATATTTGTTGAGGAAAAGCTCGTAAGCGAGCAGCTTCTGACGCACTCCATGAACGTGGTCGAGGCGATCTCGAGCAACGATGAGCTTCTTGCCCTTGTACTTCTCCAGGATGGTAGTGATCCATTCCTGGACTTCGTCCTCTTGCAGCATCTGCTCAAACATTGGTGGGTTGATGCCGATAGGCTGGCTGACGACGTTGACGAAGTGGTCGTCGAGTTGCACCCCCTCCGACGTGGTCTCGACAGCAAGCAGGCGAGAGCAAGTCTGGAGGAAGTGCGACGCATACTCTTCGGTCTGAAAGCCGATGAGATTTGCGCCGAGCATGCCATCCAGAAGTTCCTTTCTGGTCGACAAGCATCTGAACACTTCTGATGATGGAAATGCCGTGTGCAGGAAGAAGCCAATTTTCGCGTCTGACAGCTTCTCACGCACCATGCCAGGGACGAGGAGGAGGTGGTAATCGTGAATCCAGATGGTGTCGCCTCGCTTGTAGCTAGCGATCACCTTGTCTGCGAATGCTCGATTGACGTTTCGGTAGAACTCCCAGCTGTGGTCGGCGTACGCTTTGCTTTTCGGGTGGTCGGGAACCTGGTAGTGGAAGATGGGCCAGAGAATGGTCTTGCAGTAGTGGGCGTAGTGACCATCGAGGTCCTTGTCAGAGCAGTATACAACCTCTGACTGGAATTCATTGAGGAGCCTATCATGAACTTCCTCCTTGGTGCTCTCGGGTAAGGCGTCGGTCGGCATACCCAAAGTGCCTATCCAGGTCACATCCATGGGCTGATCGTGCTCGTTCATGGTATCATCGTCTTGTGATACTTGACGAACGGCATTGACAAGACCTCCATTACCGTGGATGGCTGGCTCGACAGTCCAGGTCTTATCCTCGAAGCCTCTCTCGGAACTGCCAGAGCGCGAGCTAAACGCATTGTGTGGAGATGGCTTCGCCAGGCGACGACCCTTCTTCTTCTTCTTCTCTTCGTCACGCGCGCTCAGCTCTTCGTAGACCTTGGAGAAGTCTTGAATGGAAGCCGACGGTAGCGGTCCAGCACGAGAGCGCGGCTGGTTGAAAACTCCTTGAGCGCCCCACCACTCTGCATGGGTGTCGCTTCGAAGGAGTGATCGAGGATCACCAGGTCTGGCAAACATACGCTTCTGCGCATTGCTTGCTCCGGGCGTGAAGAATGCCTCGTTTACTGCATTTTGAATAGCAGGTGTCAACGGCGGTGTTGGACCATTGAACAAGCTGGTCTTCTCGCTTGCGTTTCTTGAAGGCAGATCAATGCTGGATGCTGCGCGCTGCTCAAGCTGGAATGGCGGACTGCGTGCTCTGCGTGATTGTGATTCTTTTGGGGGTGTCTGCTCGAAGGAGATGGTGTTTGGGAGGAAGCTATGTCGAAGTCAATTTGATTCTGCGTGTGACTTTGCGTCGCGCCACTTGACGTATTGGTGGCCAGATGTTTGTGTTGTGTTGTGTAGCGCCTTCGCAATTCATACTTACAGTGAGACAGTCAAGTTGGTCGCCATTGCGGCGGTATTGTGTTGGTGTTGTAGCTGCACTGGGTATAGGTTTGGGAGTGGTGTTGCAAGTGCATGAGAGAGAGAGGAGGTGTGATGGCTCAAGCAGGAAGTTTCGACGCAAGCTAGCGCAGCGGGGCCGCAGATAGGGTTTCACTCCGTTTGCATGTGAAGCAGAAAGTGAAGGGGGGATCAGAGAGGAAAGGAGTGTGATGCCACAGTGCTCTTGAAGATTCTGGAAGAGCACCACGCTCAGCTCACTTGCCGTCGTCGCCGGCGGAGGCGCCTCTTCGTGTGCCTTCTGGTCGCTCACTGGCTGCGTGGACTCGCGACCGCGTCATCCAGCCAGCGGGCTTGTTGCAAAACTGTGATGCAATCGGCTTCTTCCAAGTTTCCAGTTTTGTTTGTGTGGTCAGTGGTCAGACATGGCCAGAGCGCGGGAAGCTTCGCTCACACTTTTTAACCTTTTGCGCGCTACGTCCCGGCCGTTGCGCTAGTCCTAAACAGGAAGCCTGCCCTTCCGCGCCGAAACACACGCTTCCTCCTCCTCTTCCTCTTCCTCTTCCTCTTCCTCTCTCTCTCCACCCTCGCACCACACTCCATCGCCGTTCGGCGACCATGACATGACAGCACTCACATGCTTACGCGATATCTACATCAAGCCTGATAACCCACGAATGCCAAGAATGGTCGCCAATGAGTCGCAGACGGCTCAGCACGGCTGGCCGTGATGATAAGCATGTTGCTTTTCGACGACGATCACGCTGTCATGAGTGTCTCCTGACATCCATCGCCCTTCCCCAGAATGTCCACGAATTCGACACGTGTAAGGTGTTGCGGGCGAGGCTCCCGGAAATGACCTCGGGAGAGCATATGTATCCTCCAAACATGCGGCATCATCAGCCCCGTTTGCAACCGACACCGCCTCAGCTGGAAACCAAGATATCCCTGCTACTGTCTTCGTTCCTCTCTGCAAACCCCACGCGCAGTGCACAACAGGCTCGGGACCCGACTCCAGCTTTCAAGTTTGAACTATACTCATCTATGTCTGACCAAACAGATGTTCAAGTTTCGATGCCCGAAGAGGACCTATCCCAGTTATCCCTGCCTCAATTGCCGCCGTCAATTTTGCCTCATGCGAGCCACTCGTCATAAGGCCCGAAATCTAGCCAATCTGCACTTGCATCAGACTTTGACGTTGCGCGGCTATAGTGACAACGAGGCTGTTTGCAACACACACAGTACAGTACTGTAGCTGAGCGAGCGAGCGTAGCACATCCACGCGGCAACGCCACGTCCACTGCCTTGGAACCAGGAGCCACTCATAAGTCACCCAACGATTTGACATCACTTCTAGGAACAAGTGTCCGAGTACCGTGGCAGATACCAGCCGTACGGAATCGACACGGCGGCAACACAATCACGACACAGTTGGCTCACTCCGCGGATCTCGGCTTCTCCTATTCTCGATGGCACTACAAGTACAACTACCTCAGCCTTTCATTTTTCCTAGCCTTATCGTGACTCGAGTATCACATTCATGATACAGGAACACGAAACACCACCAATACCCATCTATGCCGGCAAACATGACTCGTAGAGTGTAAGTACCACTGGCGTCGATGTTGCTGCACAATGACGATGTTTCAAAGGAACAAGTCACGATACTTGACCGACAGTCCTTAGTGGGGCCAAGATCTACATCTAAGCCTCGTGCCTCCGACCTCACTTCCTTCTCAAGCATAAGTGCACCACGACCTCTCAGCCACGAATTGCACAATGTGCACTCCCTGTGACGTGACCGAAGAATCCCGCAAAGGATCAGCAGGAGCCGAAGCAGCACTCCTCCAGCCACGTGATGTACAGAAGGAACACAAGTACATCGATCCAAGTACCTGCTCGCTTGCCTGCGACGTCAATCACTTCGCTCTGCAGCGCATGGCGAGGGTGGCACGTGGCTTAGCGATGCACAACGAGGAATACTCGGAATTGGCAAAGAAGTACGAACATCTCGACTTGATTCCGACGAATGTTAGGGACTAACTGCTTCGGTGGCCTAAAGAGCAGCAAGGCTCGACTTTAGCCTTATAAGACTTTAGAAGCAAAAAAACTTAGGTCCCGTAAGGTAAGCTAGAAATTATTATCTATTATCCTGCCTTCTCTGTCCCTTATCGCTATCTATTATTACTTTAAAAACAAGTAGACGCTATAAGTACGCCTCTAGAATGCTATTTGCGTAAAGTAATGCCTCTATAAGTACGCAAATCTCTCGTACCGACGGTACCGTAATATAAAGCTTATAGTGCCGCTATATAACGCGACGTAAATACTAGGCTCCTTAGCCTACTACCTAGAGGTTAGCTAGACCGTATACTATTTATAGCCTATTTAAAGACATTTAATCTACCGTAGACGCGGCTTATAGAATATAGATACTACCTACGTAGCCTTAGAATATCTATAAGAAGGGTATGTTAGTAGGTAGATAGGGTAGTAGTAGATATAAGTAGTATTCGATAAAGAGCTAGGAGGAGAGGGAGGAAGGTAAGCAAGTTAGCCTATTGCTAAGCGCCAAGCCCTGCCTAAGGCACTAAGACCCTAGCTTTACTTAGCCTAGTTACATACTAATTACGTATAGCCTCTTTAGCCCTAATATACGCTTCCCTTCTAAAGGCCGCGCCCTCGTAGCCTATCTATGTTCTACGACCTCTATTACCGCTAACTTAGCAAGTCTAATAAGCTACTTAGCCCGCGCTAAATTGAACACTTAACTACCTAATTATGTAACTATGTCAAACCTTACCTCTAATATAATATCTAACTCTAACTACGCTATCCTTGTATATAATAACCTATAAAGTAGTATATATCTATAAGAACTAAGGGCCTTCGACTAATTACAATACGAGCGCGTCTTCCCTACTATAATAGGTAGACGTACGAGGTATTATAGCCCTGCCTCCGTTCTAAGTAATGTCGTACCGAGTTCTTTGCGTCTACTTTTAAAAAACCTAGCAATGTCCGCTTCCGAGGGTTTGTCCGCTTCCGAGGGTTATTATTCTTATTGTTCGTAGTTTCGCTAGCCCTAATTAGCTAGGTTTGGCAGCCTTTAAGTATCAATCTTATCTTATCTTTTCAAAAAACACAGCTCGTCTAGTTTCTATAAGTAAAGGCTATTATAAGTATAGTAGTAGAGGTTCGCCTCGCTTAAAGGGTTAGATAGATCGAGGAGTAACCTATTGTCCGCAAGATCGACCCCGGCTAGCTTAGCTCTATAGTTTTGCCCTTAGTTAGTTAGTCTATTAGTCGCTTAATCTTTTAAGCGGCTTAAAGTTTTAATTAAAGTTTTAATTAAACCTTTAACATAGCTATTCTTTTAACTTGTCTAGTAGGGTACGCTCTGGCTCGTAGTATAGGTAAGGTTGTGTCTATAGGCGTAGCGATAATAGCAAGTAATATTAATAATAGCGGCGCTAGTCGTCTTAGCGCTAACTTTACCTTGCTTCTAATTTCCTTCTTTAACTAACAACAACTCGGTAATACCGTTACTAATATAGCTATATTCTTCCTTTCTTAAGTAGTAACATACTCCGCAACACTGTTACTAATATAGCCGCGCCGGCCGCGCCGTCCTCGCCGATTGCCTAGGCCTCGAGGCCTCGATAGAATAAGGGAATAAGAGGGGGACCTACAGGGCGCGTTAGTAAAGAGGTAGAGCCCTTAAAAGAGTATGCGATTAATTAATTAACGCGTGGTAGCGCGCCTAGTGTAGTCTTATTGTCCTAGTTTGCCGGCCTCTAATTAGTTAGCTAATAGCACCCTAGGGGTAGCATTGTCCTAGGCCTTAATAGTAACATTATAAGCTTTTAGCCTTCTTCTTGTTCTTTACGCTAGTCCAATACTTATCTAACAACTCGGTTATATCCTTAAAGGATCCTTTAGCTTCCTACGAGTCCTATTTAGGTAAATAGCCTTACTACCTTAGGAGGTATTCCTTCTTGCCTTTCCTAGTCCGGTGCTATAGGATACGTTCTATAGACTATAGCTCTTCGCTATTAGCTAGTATATCCTCGGATTTAGTAGGTGCTTTATCCCCTTCGCGCAGGTAGTACGGCTTAAGGAGGGATATATAGAAGGTGTTATAGATAGCACAATAAGGTAGAAGCTATAACTAGTAAGCCTATATACCCTTAGCTTCTCGAATGCGGAATGGGCTAATGTATCTTAGTGCGAGCTTAGGCCTTATTTTACTATTAGGTAATAGGTGTTTGCAGATACGGAGGTTCTTAGTGCTTAGTACAACTAGGTCGCCTTGCTTGAAGGTTATTAGCGTATAATGTTTGTTATAATAGGTCTTTTAGTACTCTTAAGCCTTCGTTAACTTCTCGGCTATCTTAGTATAGATTTCTCGCATCTTTTAAACCCTCTTAATAGCTGCTAGTGTCTTAGGTGTTAGTACTTAACGCGCTTCCCTTTCCTTACGCTCGGCCTCGAGCGATAGGGGGTCTTATAGCATCGTAGCGTTCTAGCCTATTATAGCTATATATAGTAACACCTTAGTTAATAAGTAGACACTGTTATTGTATACGAATTTAGCTAGTTATAGGAGGTTAACCTAGTCGTTAGGATTCTCGTTAATGTAGCTGCGTAGGTATTGCTATAAGGTAGCATTCTGCCTCTCTATTTGACCGTTAGTCTATAGATAGAAGGCTATTAATAGCCGATGCTTTAGTCTTAGCTATAGGCATATTTCGCTTTAATAGTACGATATAAATGTCGAGCCCCTATCGGAGACTATCCCCTTAGAGGTTCCCTAATAGGTATAGAAGATGTTAGTCTATAGCGCCTTAGCTAGGTTAATAGCCGTCTAATCCTTTCGGGCAGGAATGTAACAAGCGCCCTTAGTAAACCGGTCTACGATAACTAGGATAGCATTATATATATCCTTGCTTCCCCTACGCTTAGTAGGCGGAAGGCTTATAATAAAATCTATTATAAGCTTAGCAAATAGCTTCTTTAGAACAGGGAGTAAAGACAACTCGCTAAATAGTAAGTGCTTTAGTGCTTTAACTCGTTAATATACGGCATACGTGTTTACGTAGTCCTTTATGTCCCGCTTACTATTTAGCTAGTAGTATATACGCGATAGTAGCTCGTACGACCTCTCTATACTATAGTAACCGGCAAGCTTACTATCGTAGTGTCGCTTAAGAAGTTCTTATCTAATCGATTGTTTAGCGGAAATATAGTATCTGCCCTTAAACCTTAAGTAACCTTTGTCGTCGATCGACTAATTACTCTTACTAGATCGAGTCTTTCGCCTACTTATAAGCTTGTCGATACGTTTAGTAGCAAAGGCGTCCCTCTGCTAAGCCTATAATAGCTTATCTATAAACGATTGACTATCCCTATTTGCAAGGTTATTTAATAGCACCCTCGCTATTAAACGAGGTACGTATTATATGCATCTAATAGTACTAGTAGCCGGATTAACTGCAGCAGTGCTATCGCTATTACTATATATTGCGATGTCGACTAGGGAGTTATTATAACTTCTCCTATCTGTATCTTTAGCCCTTGCCTTAATACGCACTGTTAATATAGCAAGAGCATTAATATGCTTTAAGCCGTCGCAGAGTCCGGTAAGCCGCTTATCCTGCGCTTGCTTATTAATAATACGGGCTATAGCAATCTTATACTGCAGGGTTAGAAACAATAAATTAATAGATTGCTAAGTCCCGCTGTCGTAATTAGGTCGCCTCGATAGGCTATTAGCAGGGTTGCTTACGCCTAGCTAATATAATATATTAAAATTAAACCTAGCGAGGTAGACGGCCTATCTAGCCTGTCGACCTATAACCCTAGTAACCTTCGTAATTCTACGGAGGTTGTTATAGTCCGTATAGACCTAAATAGTGTACTATGCGCTATCGAGATAGTAGCGCTAGTGCTTAAAGGCCTCGACAATAGCTAGAAGCTCTTACTTGTAGGTCTCGTAGCGGCGCTTAGCGTTAATTATCTTCCTCGAGAAGAAGGCAATCGAGTGCTAATAATAGTTATTATCTGATTACTAGGACATAATAGCCGATATAGCGAACTGTAAAGCGTTAGTCTCAATTCGGATCTGCTTATTTAGCACAAAATAGTGTAACAAGGGGACTTTAGTAAAGCGTCGCTTTAGACCGTTAAAAGCGGCTTGTACTCTATTAGTCTATTTGAACTCTCTAGTCGGGTTGGCCTTGGTTTTAGTAAGCTTAGTTAGTAGTATTATATGCCTCGAATAGCCCTTAATAAATCGGCGATAGAAGTTAGCAAAACCGAGGAACGACTATAGCTCCTTAATTGACGTAGGAATAGGCTATTTAGTAATAGTTTTAATCCGATTAGGATCAGCCTTAACACCCTTAGTTAATACGATAAAACTAAGGAAGGCTACCTCCTTAGTAGCAAAGGTACATTTAGAAGGCTTGCAATACAGTCTATAGGCTCGTAGGCGATCGAGCACCTTACGGACTACAGCCTAGTGCTCCGTAATATTAGGTAAGTATATGTAAACTAGGATATTATCTAGGTAAACTATATAGAGGTAGTCTAGTAGGCCTAATAGGGCCCGATTAATATAGGACTAGAATATAGCAGGGGCATTAGCTAGCCTAAATAGCATAACTAAGTACTCGAAATAGCTATAGCGAGTACGGAAGGCTATCTTCTATTTATCGCCCTTGCGAATACAGATACGGTAATAGGCGTCCTTAATGTCTAATATAGTATAGTAGTAGGCACTAGAAAGGCGGTCGAGGGTCTTACTAATAAGCGGGAGTAGGTAGCGGTCTTTAATAGTAATAGCGTTAAGCCTACGATAATTAACATATAGGCGTAGGCTACTATCCTTCTTTAGTACGAACAGGATAGGGGCGCTAGTAGGGCTATTACTATACCGAATGCGACTATTAGCTAGGTTTTCCTCTAGGTACTCTCGTAGTATAGTAAGCTCTCGTTTACCGAGGTTGTAGAGGGGACTAAAAGGGACCTCTTTGCCCTCT